CAGGAGTTGCAGCGGCTTTTCAAGCCCTTGGTGGAGAATCGCTGGGAATAGACCATTTGGTAGACAAAAGACGGGTCAAGGGACCGGTTGCAAAGGTTGACCTGTCAAAGAGAGCAGGACAGGACACAGTCATCAAATGGATCAAGGACGGAAAAATAGACGGTGTAATGCTTGCACCACCATGTGGGACTTCCTCACGAGCACGTGAGATCCCACTGCCGAAGAAGCTGCGATGGCGCTGTGGCATGCAACCAGCGCCACTTCGGTCGGATGACTGGCCGAATGGGTTGCCAAACTTGAAGGGCACTTCTTTGCTGAAAGTGAAGGCCGCCAACAAGCTGTATGCCTTCACCAGGCGTGTGATACAAGAATGCATTGCAGCAAACATACCCTTCATTTGTGAAAACCCACGCAGATCCCTGATGTGGAAGACAAGTGCTTTCTCTTCTTTACCTGAAGGCTGTTTGTTTCAGTGCATCCATGCTTGCATGTATGGTAGCAAACGAAGGAAGAGTACGGCTTTTCTCATGAACTTTGCAGCAGAAAACTTGAAAATGGAATGTGACAGCAGCCACGATCACCTTCCTTGGGGCATGGTAGACGCTCATGACGGAGCAGGCTTGAAGTTCTCCACAAGCCTTGAGACTGAATACCCTGGAACCCTCTGCAAACAGTTGGCACTGGCGTTCTTGGAACAAATGCAACGTCTAGGAAAAAGCCTGCGACTTCAAGATGCACAGACGGAGCAGCTTCAAAAGATGGGGTCAGGGACACAACCCAGGGGAGGACGATCACCTGTCCTCATGGCCGAGTTTCAGTTCAAAGTGGATATATCCATTTTTGATGCCAACCCACCGCAATGCATAGCAGAAGACTCTCCACCTCCTTTTCAAGGAATTCCGGTGGGGGCCAAACTGATTTCTTCTCGAAAGTTTGCTGAAGTGGGGTTTGAGGGCGAGAAGAAGGAAGGGCTGAAAGCCACCTACGGTGTTTTTTCGTCACCATGGCATTTTTTGGAGCGTGCGTTGCAAGTGGAACACCCTTTGGACACCCCACAGCTGGTGGACAAGAGCAACCTGCGCGCAATTGTTTTTCTCAGGGACCACAGTGTTGCGCAGGTGAAACTTTTCAGAGCCAAGCAGCTAAGACGTTTTGTTGAAAGGGCCGAATCTCTGAAGGATGAAGAAGAGGCCTTAAAGGCCACCTTGGACGAAGATGTGCGGGGAGTCCTAGCCCCAAAACGACTGATGCTGTTCAAAGAGATGATGGAGGAGGCTGGAGTTGGTGACAAAGGACTTTTTGAGGAGCTCACACAGGGTTTCTCGCTCACAGGTGATATGCCAGAGTCTGGCCAGTTCCCAGCCAAGCTGAAGCCTGCCTTGATCTCCGTTCAGCAGTTGAAAGACTCGGCAGTTTGGGCAAAGAAGATGATTCAAACCTCCTGCAAGAGGGTTGGGTCGGATGCTGAAGTTGCGAGAGCAGTCTATGACGAGACAATGCAACAGTTACAAGATGGTTGGGTTAAGGGCCCCTTTTCTGAGCATGACCTTGACTTGAAGTACGGGGGCTGCTGGATCCCGTCGAAACGTTTTGGGGTTCGTCAGGGCCAGAAGGTGCGAGCAGTCGACGACTTCAGCGAGTTCCTGGTAAATGCCTCTGTGACTTCAACGGAGCGCTTGCAGCTTTTTGGGATTGACGAAGTGATCAATACTAATACTGCCAGGACTTTCCTAGGTGCAGATCTGCTGGAGGTAAATGGCGACTTTTCAGAAGTTTGGTGTAAGCCTGAGCTGCGTGCCTTTACCGGGCCATGGAGAAGCTTGCAGGGCCGTGCTTTAGACTTGAAGGCGGCATACAAACAACTTGCCCGCCACCCTAAGGACTCTTGGGCCTCTATTCTTGCTGTATGGAATCCAGATTCCGCCAGAGTAGAGTTCTACGAGTCTGTAGCGCTACCCTTTGGTTCGGTGTGCGCAGTGATGGCGTTCAATCGGGTGGCACGAGCCTTGAGACTTATCATGTCAGAGCTTTTCATGATAGTCAATACAAACTTTTTCGACGACTTCTGCCAGCTGGAAGAGGACCAACTTTGTTCTTCTTCTTGGGAGACTGCTGAAATGGTCATGAAGCTCTTGGGTTGGAGGATATCGATGTCAGACGACAAACGTCTTCCCTTTGGCGTTGAGTTCCAAATGCTCGGGGCCATCGTCGACCTATCCAGGAGCAAGCAAGGGATGGTTCAAGTAAAAAACAAGCCCAGCAGAGTGGCTGACATCGGTGCAATGGTGGAGGACTTGTGCAGCCGTGACTCCATTCCCTTGTCTACCATAGAGACCTTGAAGGGGCGCTTGCTCTACGCAGCTGGGCACACCTTTGGGCGCTGCACCCAACTCTCAATCCAACTTATATCCAGGTTGGCTAGAAGAGGGCCAATGGTTTTGTTGGACAACAAATTCAAAGCAGTTGTGCGCGACGCATTTAAGTGTTTGTCTGAAGCACCCGCAAGAGAAGTTGGTGCCTGGTCTGGAAGACCACCAGTGGTTGTTTTTACAGATGGTGCTTGTGAGAACGAAGGGACGGAGATCACTCATGGAGCAACGTTGTTTGACCCAGAGACTGGACGATCTCTGATGTTTGGAGACTGGGTTCCAGATATCTGGGTGCAACAATGGAAAGCAGGTGGAAAGAAACAGCTCATTTGCCAGGCTGAGATATTCCCAGTGCTTGTCTCTAAAGCGACTTGGACAAGTGAACTGAGAAACCGAGCCATTCTTTGGTTCATCGACAACAACGCTGCGCTCTCTGCAGTCATACGCTCCTTCTCCCCAGTGATCGAGAACTATCAGCTCCTCGTACTCAATGCAAACCTTGACCTTCAACTCCAATCCATGCACTGGTATGCTCGAGTACCGTCCAAGTCGAATTTGAGCGACAGTGCCTCCAGGTTGGACTTTAAGGAGCTCGAAGCTCATGGATTCCTGCGATGCAAGCCGCAATACGGATCCCTCACGATAAAGGAAAGTGGGGTGGAGGCGTGAGGAACAAAGGTTTCTAGCGCAAACAACAGACGTGTTGCCGACTCCCCAATTTCAGTCAAAGAAAAAAAAGGTGTGACCGCCTTTCAAGCCATGCTGTGATTCTGATGCGTGTCTTTTCAAAAAAAGAACGATGTTTTGATTTGAAAGTTTTTTTTTGGGGTTTAAGTTTGCGTAGGAGCGAACGCACGCGGAAAGGAACATAACAACAAGGTCGAAGTGGACTTAAGTCTAATAAGTTGCGGCTCACTTTAGTGACGAGCCTTTATTTGACGCGGTCCATTGGTGGGGAGCCACCTCCTTCTTCCTTATTGTCCTTGCGTTCCTTTCTCTGCTGCGTGCCCTCCGCGTCTCCAAAAAAAAAGAAACAAACAGTTGAACAAACAACTCTGAAACAAATCCGACATGTTTGTGGGTGCACTGCCTTGAGTGGCTTCACATGTGATTTGTTTTTCAGTTGATGTTGTTTTCCTGGTTCAATAAATGTTTGTTGCTGAATTTTACATCTCTAGGGCGGGTGGGTGGGAAAATCCTCACTACCCGGCGGTTTTGACCCGCCCACCCGACCCCCGCCGGGCGTGAGGAACAAAGGTTTCTAGCGCAAACAACAGACGTGTTGCCGACTCCCCAATTTCAGTCAAAGAAAAAAAAGGTGTGACCGCCTTTCAAGCCATGCTGTGATTCTGATGCGTGTCTTTTCAAAAAAAGAACGATGTTTTGATTTGAAAGTTTTTTTTTGGGGTTTAAGTTTGCGTAGGAGCGAACGCACGCGGAAAGGAACATAACAACAAGGTAGAAGTGGACTTAAGTCTAATAAGAGATCGTCTTACGGGACAAGCCTGGGGTTACCCAGGGGGGACCCAAGCCGAGATAACGGCAGGGTAATAGTGGGGCACTCCTGGACGGACCAGGGAAACCCAATCATAGGCTAAACGGATTGGGGTGGAACGATCCATAGCTCCTTTTTCCAGCCATTCTCCGGCGTCTTCCCACAGCAGCCCTCATCTGACGGAATTGTTTTTCTAAATGCATTGGGAGTAAGTGCGTTGGGTGTGAATCGATATCTGGAATGGATCCAGGATATCTTAACCTGACTGGAACAGGATGCCACCATCAGCAGGGCTGATAGATCTGTAGGCATACCCAATGCATTATCCTGTAGGAATACAGGTTGGAAGACTCAAGAGAAAGGTGAATGGAAAAAGAATGAGCGCATCGGCAGACTTGAGGGTTAGTGGCTAACCTTGTGAACTTATTCCCCAACCTTTAAGGAATGTATGACTGTCTATGACTGTCTAGTGTTTGGCAGGCTTGGGTGGACAGTGGTCATTCCTTGGTGGTTGGTTTAATAAGTCGAAATCAATGCCAATTTTGGCTCAAATAAATATTAATCCAAAATAGCAGCGTTGTTTTCCTTGCCCTCCCTAAATCAGGGATTTTTACCCGCCCTGTTATTCGGTCCCCTGTGGGGTCACCTCATAACTTGAAGTCTGCGCTGCAGATGGGGTACATGCACAAGAAGCTGTGAATACCTACAGATTGGAGGGGTTGCTGTCCCAGTACGGGTGTGAATCGATATCTGGAATGGATCCAGGATATCTTAACCTGACTGGAACAGGATGCCACCATCAGCAGGGCTGATAGATCTGTAGGCATACCCAATGCATTATCCTGTAGGAATACAGGTTGGAAGACTCAAGAGAAAGGTGAATGGAAAAAAAATGAGCGCATCGGCAGACTTGAGGGTTAGTGGCTAACCTTGTGAACTTATTCCCCAACCTTTAAGGAACGTATATATATATATAGATGTATATATATATATAGACATGTTATATATATAACATGTCTTTAAATAAATAAATGAATATATATATATATATATCATTGATATTTCAAGTGATTCTTCAAACGTTCAACTTTGCTGGTTGATGATCTGTCAGTGATGCCGAAGCCTTTTGCAAACTAGCGGTCTCAACTGGCGATTTCCTCAGCTTCGTCCATCCCGGCGAAAACTCCGGTGTGGTGTGTTTCAATGGCGCTCCGCGGGCAGTGGTCACCTTAGCAAAAGCACCCCCTTACACAGAGAGGTGACATTTCTTCAAAATTCGGCGGATTGCTTCTCCAGGCAGTTGCCTTGCAACATACATCCAAATCCGATTTCACATCAATATTCAACAGTGTTGAATACTAATCTACTAGTCTTCCTGGATATAATGACGATTCTAAGTTTGTCATTGCTTTTCCAAGGACGACTCCGTTTGGACCCTATGGTGGCTTATTGGCAGGGTTCCTCAATCCGGACCGTCAGTCTGAGAACCAGGAGCGTTTGGAGGCTCTTGGTGCAGGCAGTGGTGCCGCAGATGTGGAGTACGAGCAGTTTTTGAAGGCGAAAGAGGCTGGGGTCGATTTTGTGTGCTAAGCGTTTGGTGTTTTTAGCCAAATGATGGTCATGGAAGTAGAAAATCGTGCTGAAAATCCATGGAATCCTTCTCCAGGCAGAACAAATCAAAACAATCTATCGAGGATATCGAGGATTTTGCATTATCAGTTAGGTAAGATTGAGAGTGTAGTTTTTTCAGCTGGATACTTGGGGTGCATCCCAGTAAGTGGCTAAAAACCATACTATGATAAGGTTTCACCTGGATTATTCCCAGCTATGGGATCCATGGTTTTTTTTTCCACTCCAGGTGCAGCGAGCCATGTTCGCAGCAGAGAACAAGACCATCGTCCACCAGTCGACTGCACGCAGGGGACGACTGACCCGGCTGGGTAAACATAGAAAAAAATCTGGAAAACCAATGGTGAAACCCCTAGGAAAATGATCTGCTGATGGATTTTCCACATCGAACTGATAGTTTACAGGAGGGAAAAAATGGGACTGTATTCAAAATTCTTGAAAATAAGAGGTTTGTAATCATTTTTGATAACATGGGTCATATGGAACCCAAATGAGTAGATCCAAATACGTCCAGCCTAGCGATTGAGCCGGGTAGCATGGTGGGGTTCCAGCAAGGGTTTCACAGATCCAACTTCTGTGGCTGCCTAAGGTGTGCGGATACTGACGTTATTCAATGCACGGAAGGTTCCATTGCTTGCATTGATGGGAACCAGGCGCAGTTCTAGTGTCAATCTTTTTGGTGAGTGGCTTGGAACAATATATTCAAGATTCAAGAGGTGACCAGTGATAAGATAAATATCATTGTCAAACTGGTAGTTAGAATATGTCAGGGTAGATGATAAAAAATGCTACTGCCAAAGGTCACTAAAAGAAACACATGATCTCTTCACCAACGTGTTGGATGAGAGCGGCAGGCAGCAGCGCATGTGGCCTACGCCCTCAGCGATTGCGCCTTCATTTACCCCATCACGCCCAGCTCGCCCATGGGTGAAATGGTGGACGAGTGGTCAGCCCAAGGCTATGATGCACTGCATTGCCAGTTTCGTGGGTTGGGGATGGGGGAAAAACATATCAAGAACATATACCATATGGGGGGAACATCCATAGACACAAGCAATTTCATGGGCTGAACTACAGGCTACGATTCGGGTTTTGACGTTTACCCGATTTTGTTACGAACTTCGAGCTTCCTGGTGTGGCTATGCATCAAAATCCTGGTACCCTGCTGTTCATTTGTGGATGTCCATCCCCCCAATAGGTATTGACCCATACCCATATCTATAGATATTCCCATTAAATCCCATTGAAATCTCATTGTCCCAGCGTTTGCTTTCCAGTTTAAGCCAGGCCTCATCAACTGCTACGGTCAAAAGCTGAGCGTCACCGAGATGCAGAGCGAAGCTGGTGCTGCTGGGGCGCTGCATGGAGCACTGAAAGCTGGGGCCTTTTCTACCACCTTCACAGCTAGTGCCTTGGCAGCAGGTGAGCTTGGGATGTATGAGGCTGATACAGAAATGGCGCTTTTGAAGGTCACAATCTCGAAGCTTTCTGAGCTTGTAGGAAGTTTCCTGTGATCCACAGCTTCTTGTTGCCTTGGGGCAGTATGAGATGCTGTCGTTTACAGCACAGACCCAGGTCAGGGATTGCTCCTCATGATCCCCAATATGTACAAGATTGCCGGTGAGTTGTTGCCCTGCGCTTGGAGCTTAGCACCTTGCAGCTTGGGGGCAATCGGTGCAATTGAAATCTTGAGCTCGTTGTCATTCACCAAAGGTGATGCACGTGGCTGCACGTGCACTTGCTGGACAAGCTTTGTCCATCTTCGGAGATCATCAAGATGTGATGGCATGCCGTTCAACGGGCTGGTGCCTTGTCAAAGTTCCGGTTGCTTCGGAAAAGATGGAAACTAAACACAGAAATAGGAGTCTTCTCCCTGGTCACGGTGGGTGGCCGTTGAATTCCTTCTCTGTCATCAGATGCTTCTCCCAGGTGCATGTTGGCTTCTGAATCAGTTGAGATGGTCCAGTACAATGCACTGGTAGCACACCTGGTCTCCATGGAACGTCGTGTGCCCGTGCAGCATTTCTTTGACGGCTTCCGCACCAGTCATGAGGCGTCACCGGGAGCTAGCAGCTTTGTGGGACAGGGTGGATGTGGTACAACATGCAACAACCTTTGTCTCATTGTACAGGTGAAGATGAAGTTGACATAAGTCGACCAAAACAACATACATTTTTCAATCTGAACCTGTGTGGAAAGAGTAGTGACTATACATTTCAGTGACGTGAGCAGCTCTCATTGAGTGGCCAGGTGAATAAGGTGAAACTTATCGACTACAACACCATGAAGCAGTCACTTGGATGTCGAGGAGACCATGATGGTGAAGTTTCCAAGTGGGTACGGATCAAATGAAAAGAGGGGGATGAACATACATAAATTCCAGCTATTTCTGGAGGAACAGCAGATTATCTGAGTCTTGACCCATAGCCAAATTGAAGGTTGGGTAAGCGCAGGGTTTGTCTTCCATCTGCAAGATGGCGGTGATTCAAGACTATTCAGTTTTTGTGGTGGCAAGCAGTTTGAAGCCTTGCTGTCACCTGCTGGCAATTTGATGCTAGTTGAGCTTGCCAGGTTGAATTCTGTTTTGCACAACAAAGTATTGGAGATAGAGATGCATTCATCACATTTCATATATTTCATGTCGTCCCTCAAGTTGGATTGAACTTTGGATTTCACTTCTGATTTTTCCAGCCATGGCCAGGCATTCCCCATTTCTGCCGAGGTTCATCAACTGGGATGCCGTGAAAGAGCACCACGACCTGGCCATGAACCCTCGACATCCCCACGTGCAGGGCACCTCCCAGGGCCCGGACATCTTCTTTCAATGCGTGGAGGTCACGGAAAAACGAGTTGAAACGAAGAGAAAAACGTTGGGAAAAAAGTGACCCGATTAGCACTAGCCTGATTGTTGGCGGCAGAATGATCTTCTGTACTCTGCAACTCATGAACTCATTTCGCAAAAGTCCCCGGTTTTCATGCTTTGTCCATTCTGCATTCCCTCTATCATGCGCAAGGCAGGCAACAGCTTCTATGACAACTTGGCGGATCTCTTTGAAGCCAAGTCCAAGCGATTTGGGCAGCAGCATGTTGACATGAAGGATGTATGGATAGATGATGATTGGCTGGGGTCTGAACTAAAAATTACAGCTTGGGAAAAGTGGTAATATTATGTAATATTTGTCAATGGTGGTTCCTTTGATCGACCTCAGTTTCGGGATACATCCCACCTATCAAAATCTATCAAATCTATCCAGAAAGGTTCAGAATTCGACCGGAATTCTCCAGGTTGGTGGAGCAGAAGACTGGCGTGCGCTACGCCCTCTATGCCTATGATGGCCACCCAGAGGCCGAGTATGTCATCGTGGTCATGGGAAGTGGTGCTGTGACCTGCAGTGAGACAGCCAAGTACCTGCAGGAGAAGGGCGAGAAGGCTGGAGAAGTGCTGGAGTGGTAACAGAAACACCATGGTCAAATACAGCAAAGCAAAGGTAGGTCATATTGTCGCGGATTTGGCATTTGTCGGATCTGTTTTTATCATTCTACGGGATATCATCAGTTGTCAATTTTCTATAGGATGTTTGATGATATTTGATGAACAAGCTATCAAAAGTCCCAGGATTTTGATCTCCAAACTCCGCAGAACGACCGCAGGTGGGTGTGTTGAAGGTTCGCCTCTTCCGCCCCTGGGATCGCACACGCTTCATGGCAGCCCTGCCGACCACCTGCAAGCGAATCTGTGTGTTGGACAGAACGAAGGACTGCTCTCAGCTTGAGGTTTTATATCTATATCATTCTATATCTCTACATATAGGTAAATATATCTATGGTGACTAACGACTGCTAGTTGGACATCTTTTTTCAAAGAATCTACTTAGCCACGGAAATGGGGGTTGGAGACCTCTGGGGATCGACAACTAGCCATGGCTTCGGTGCCAGGAGCAGGGCTCTCAAGGTGAGCCGCTCTTTTTGGAGGTGAGTACCACCCTGAAGGCCATGTCCAAGCCCAACATTGTGTGCATCGGTGGTCGCTATGGCTTGGGATCCAAGGAGTTCACTCCCAACATGGTGCTGTCCGTCTACGAAAACTTGAAGAAGGCTCCCAGATTTTCTGGGAGAGAAATGGCATCGCGATTTTTTGTCCAAAATAGTTGGAAGGTTTAGCAGACCTGTTGGATTTTCGAATTGCAAGGCATGGCAAGTGGGAATTGGCTAAATTTTTCTGAACGCATCAAGCTCCAAAGAGATATGGGTTTGTCAATCCCCTTGTCATGCCCATTTGAATAGAAAATGATGCTTCACCAGTGGATTTGGGAGGTTTTCCATGCTTTTCCAATAATTTTCAGGCAAACCCAAACATCCTATTGTTTCCGCATGAAATCCCCTATTTCTATCCCCTCAACTACTAGAGGGTCTAAGATGGTTTGCCTAGGGCTCCCAAGATGGAAGGTCTAAGATGGTCTGAAAATCATTGTAGACCTTTTGCCTCCTACCATGTTAGACCCTTACTATCATGAGGGAAATCCATTCTAGACCTTTTGGCTTTTGCATAGGGAACTTCATCTTAGACCCTTTGCATCCTTGGAACCTTAATAAAGGTTGCCAAACGCATACCAAGCAACCACAACCAACATCAATCAACCACAACCAGTGGAGACATAAGGCGCAATCTTGTTGTCACAAGATGATGGTAAAATGGCGATGTTATTTTTTATGTAATGGATTGTAATGGTTCATAATGGTGCATAATTACACAAATAAACGAATAACATATTTGATGAATGCTTGCGAATCGCATAATAACATATTGGGAAATGATTCCAAATCAAGTACTCATTGGTATCAACACATATCATTGATATCTTTGTTGATGGTGATGGTTTCTCTTCTGTGTAGTTGGGAATGATCCATCTTGATGGGTCTGAAATGATGTTCCCATAGCATTTGTGGTGAATATTTCTGGTTTCAGGATGTGGTAAACCATTTCAGACCCATGAAGATGAGGAAAAGATAATTTATCTGGCATATCTTCTGACATTCTATCTGGCATATCTTCTGGTTTTCTATCTGGCATATCTTCTGACATTCTATCTGGCATATCTTCTGACATTCTTTCTGATATGTTGATGGTGATGGTTTCTCTTCTGTATAGTTGGGAATGGTCCATCTTGATGGGTCTGAAATGATGTTCCCATAGCATTTGTGGTGAATATTTCTGGTTTCAGGATGTGGTAAACCATTTCAGACCCATGAAGATGAGGAAAAGATAAGAAAAACATATTGGGTCACATCACATAATTACACATCCAACCCCAAAATACCTGGAAGGTTGGAATGATTCCAAATCAAATACCCATTGGTATTAACACATATCATTGATATCTTTGTTGATGGTGGTGGTTTCTCTTCTGTATAGTTGGGAATGGTCCATCTTGATGGGTCTGAAATGATGTTCCCATAGCATTTGTGGTGAATATTTCTGGTTTCAGGATGTGGTAAACCTTTTCAGACCCATGAAGATGAGGAAAAGATAAGAAAAACATATTGGGTCACATCACATAATTACACATCCAACCCCAAAATACCTGGAAGGTTGGAATGATTCCAAATCAAATACCCATTGGTATTAACACATATCATTGATATCTTTGTTGATGGTGATGGTTTCTCTTCTGTGTAGTTGGGAATGGTCCATCTTGATGGGTCTGAAATGATGTTCCCATAGCATTTGTGGTGAATGTTTCTGGTTTCAGAATGTGGTAAACCATTTCAGACCCATGAAGATGAAAATATAATTTATCTGGCATATCTTCTGACATTCTATCTGGTATTCTATCTGCCAAATCTTCTAGCATTCTATCTGACATTCTATCTGGCATATCTTCTGACATTCTATCTGGCATATCTTCTGGTATTCTATCTGGCATATCTTCTGACATTCTATCTGGCATATCTTCTGACATTCTTTCTGATATGTTGATGGTGATGGTTTCTCTTCTGTATAGTTGGGAATGGTCCATCTTGATGGGTCTGAAATGATGTTCCCATAGCATTTGTGGTGAATGTTTCTGGTTTCAGGATGTGGTAAACCATTTCAGACCCATGAAGATGAGGAAAAGATAAGAAAAACATATTGGGTCACATCACATAATTACACATCCAACCCCAAAATACCTCGAAGGTGGAAATAATTCTATCTGGCGGAAAAAATGCAAGGCGAGCATTTTGCAATGGAAGCTGTCAGGATGCGTCGTGTTAATCAGAGCTTTTTCAAACTGCCCTCGGTGGAATGGTCGAATGGCAAGATTTGGATATTTGGGATTGGTTTATTCAAAGTTATGGGTAGACACAGTTCAGGATAACTCTGGGGTAAGTTGGTTTTACTCGAGTCGAGAAAAATCAGGTTTTTTAAACTTACCCCCTATGTTAGGAAATCTTAAGGCACCAGAGTGTGACAAATATTTATTCATGTTTATTGTATAACCCAAAAATTGTCAATTTGAATTCCATCTGCATGTAAAACAAATAGACTAATATTAAATCAATATAGTCTCGAAATAACCACAATATAACCCTTAAATAAGAGAATATAGGAGATATGCTCCTGAGGGAAGGTACTTCAAGCTTTGATGTTAGGCTTACTGCCGGAGATGCCGGGCCCAGGGGTCTAAAGTGAAGTTACCTCTTTGAGCCTTCCAGTATCATAGCTGTGTTATGTGCAAGTTCCCGGACCCCTAGGTAAGGTCTAGCATGGTTCCGTTATGTTTCTGGAATCACCTAGGTATTTACATTCCAGACCCCACTTTAGACCCTAGATCCAGGGTCTACAATGAAGTTTCCTAGGGTCTGGGGATAGTAGTTGAGAGGATCTATTTCTTGCATAAATCCATATAAATACCCCATGAAATCTCCGTTTTGGTTACCTTCATTTCCAGCCACAGGACACCCCCAAGCCTCGCTTCACCGTGGGCATCATCGATGATGTGACGCACCTGTCCTTGCCCGTGGGCGACTGGCTGAACGTGTTGCCCAAGGGAACCACAGAGTGCATGTTCTACGGCTTGGGAAGCGATGGCACTGTTGGTGCCAACAAGAGTGCTGTGAAGATGATTGCCATGGGTACGGAGTTGTATGCACAGGTGGGGATTTATCGTTTTTTTTGAATGAGGACCTCACTGCAATGTAAATGATGGAAATGATGAGTAGGATAGGTTAGGATTAAGCAAAACATCCCAAAAAGGCCTGATTTCAGGCTATTACATGTGAATTACTATGATTTAGCCATTTATCAATCCACCGCAACATTGAGAGGTTGCATTGGCCCGAACCTATCAATTCAATGCTACTCTGGATCAAGTTGGACAGGTAAAGAAGAGCCAGAAAAAACATGTTCACCTTCCCATGGCCGCGGGCTGCCACGCCAGGCCTACTTCGAGTACGATGCCAAGAAGAGTGGTGGCGTCACCATTAGCCATTTGCGTTTCGGCCCTCAACCAATTTATGCTCCGCAACTCGGCTGGACCGATGCATGGTGTCTGCCGTCATGGTGGCACGTGCCCATCTTGTTGATGGTTGGATGGTTGATGGATGCTGATGGATGTTACACATGTTACAGATGGTTGACGATGGCTGGCTGGTTGATGATGGATGATAGATGATGGTTGAGGTACAACGTGCGTGCCGCAGACTACTTGGCAATCCACAAGCCCAGCTACGTGTCGAATTATGTTCCTGGGCAGAACAGATGGGCTGACGGTGGAGCCCGAAGCCTTCCAAGAGAGTCTTTCTATGGGAACGATTTTACAGACTTTTAATTTAACGATCCGTATATTTAAGGTATAGTTTCAGGTGTATTTTTTTCTCAATTGGTGGAGTCTGCAGACCCTGTGTCACTGTGAATTGGAGCCTAGGAGCATTCTCTGTATGTGAGCACATGCATCCAACTTGTCCAACCTTGCTGTTCTGTTGTCACCCAAAAGAATTCAATCTGAACTTGCCCGGCTCTCTGGCCTAGTGTTTCGCACGAGTCTATGATTTTGGGCGCTTGGTGCACAGCATTTCTGGTAGGACATGACTCGCTATATGAAGCCCAATGGAGTTTGCGTCATCAACTGCTCCTGGAGTGTCGGAGACCTGGAGAACAAGTTGCCACCGAAGATGCGACGTGATTTGGCCAGCAAGAAGGCAGGGAGGGTTTGCAAATCTTGCTAGATTGAAAACAATCCCATCAGTTTGTGATACAAAGTGGAGGGACAGCTGTCAGTTTCAATCTGGAAAGGTTGATAGCCGGGACAACATTGGGAGCCCCAACTCAAACGGTTTTCTTCGATGGTAATGGACGCACAGGCGAAGTTGTACATCATTGATGCCACGCAGATTGCTGTCAAGGCGCCGCACTTGAAGTTTTTCTGTCGTGTTTTGGGACAACGTTTCTGTCTTATCCTCTTTGAAGCGGAAGATACTGGATCCTGATGATCCTGACGATCCAGACTCCTGTTTTGACAAGTCCGTTTCTGGACTCTACTCAATTACAGAGGAGCATTCTGGGTCTACGGCCAATTGTTCATCCTCCTGGATGGACCAGATTCGCGCTAGGCTGGTCTTGGCAAGCGAATCAACATGATCATGCAGAGTGTCTTCTTCAAGCTGAGCGGCGTGCCTTGGATGCCTTGGATTGTTGAAACGAAGTCAGCTGGGCTGAGTTCGCTGGTTTTGGATGCAGTTGGTGGATGTTGGTTCTACGAATGAAGACCTTTGATATCCTTTGATGAAACCTCCATAAAAGGTCCCGATGTATCGGAATTCCTTCAGACTCCTGCCCTAGTTGTCGTTTTCCGGCTGTGAGGTGATGCCTTTTGAGGAGGCCATTGACATGTTGAAGAAGAGCATCAAGAAGATGTATGGCAAGAAAGGCCAGGCAATGGCCATATTGGGCATGATAGTGATGCTCAAGTCAAACATTGGCTGAAACAATCCGTGGATCTGCAGGTCCTCAACTATCAGAAATGACCCATCATGAATTCATCAAAATCATTGGAGATTATTTCAATTTAGGATCCCTAAAAAACCATGATTTCTATCCCTGGTTTTTTTTCCATCAAAAATCAGAAATTGATGTTGAACAATTTCTCATATTTCCCATGGAGATTTCCAGATCAGCAGATCCAGATCCGAAGGCGACAAGGTGGTGCAGATGAACATCGACGGCGTGGACGCCTCGGTGAGTGGCATCACCGAGTGTCCGGTCCCACCCAGCTGGGCCGAGATCGCTCTGCCTGGGGAGGTGCGGGCAGAACCTGGGGTGGACGATGGGGTTACCGTTGGTGAATTTTTGGATGCGAAATCTGATGAAGACCAGGAAAAACCTCTGGTGAAACTCTGGTGAAGATATGAAAGATGGGAAAAAGCCATAAAAAGCCAACAGTTTGCAATAAAAAAAGGCAGGCTATGGATGTGATTGGGTTTGGATGTGAAGTTTTGGATCCATGTGTTTTTTGTTGGAGTGGATGAATCTCTTCAGAGCTGCAGGCTGGCGGATCTACCCAGGCTGCCAAGGGGCCCAGGAAGATCGTGGATTTGGCGCCCAAGCAGTTTGCAGATGGAGTGCAGCAGCCCTGCAACAACTTGGATGCTTGGTTGGAAGAGCTTGGAAGTCTGAAACTTCGATCCAAGATGATCCAAGATGATCCAATGCGAAGTATCACCCATTATCAACTTTCAAGGGTCCGGTATGGATTCGTCGTGGAGTGGGAGTTTGGCTCTTGTCTCCCATGTTGGCTGTGGCTCGGAGGACGGAAACTCCTTGCCAGTGAGCACTTTCGTTCCGGGTGGCCGTGTACCTTTGGGCACCAGCCAGTACGAGAAGCGAGGTATTGCCATCAACGTACCCAAGGCAGGTGTTTCCATTGCTCCAAAATGTGACCTCAGTGGTTCAATTTGGCATAATTTGGCAAATTTGGCTGCACCATGGCCTTTGATGCCATGGCGCCATCTTCTTATCCCCAGCGCACAAGCTGCGCGCAACTTGTGGCACAGGTGGACATGGATCTCTGCACACAGTGCAACAAGTGCAGTCTGATCTGTCCTCACGCGGCTGTCAGCTGATTGCACATGGCGCTTGAAGTATCGCTGGTGGTTTTTACAGCTTTTATTGTGCAAGTGCAAAGAACACACTTGGGCTATTCCGAGCAGTTCATAGTTGCGGTGACATACTGCCATACTCGTAGTACTTGGCAAGTACTTGGGTGCATCATTGGTGAAGAATGCACCCAGATATAGATTCCCATGAATCCACTGCCGCTGAGGTCCGTCCTTTCTTGGCAACTCAGCAAGAGCTGAATGCAGCACCCAAGGAGAGCTGGAGAGCGGTGGAGCTGTGCGAATTCGATCGGTTGAACACTTGAGTTAAAATACAATAATAATATATGATATACATTGAGATATATATATATATATATCAGGTACCTTTCTTTCTTCCTGACATGTTTGAGACTGTTGAGTAGTTACGAAGTTGAGTATGAATATTTGTGTTATTTTTCGGAGTATCGATGTTTGATACCGACCGTCTCAGGACTTCAGTGCTGGCAGCCGCGCAGCCATTGGAGGTGGTGTGCTGGACAACTACCAATACCGCATCCAGGTCGATCGACGGGTTGGAAAAAGGAGTGGACAATGGGTTTATTGACCGGTAAGGATATGTTTGATGAAGATCTCACCCGGCTTTGCGATATTTTTGTATGAGCACATCTCGAATCATGAGGGTTTTGGGGTTTCTTTGACATCTGAAGGTTTTTGAGGGGTTGAATTTTCATGTTTGCTGATGTGTACTGCCCTTACAATGCTTTGAGGAATTGGAAACTGGATAGGTTGAAGCAGCACCGTGGTGACCCTGCCATCCAATGATTTTCATATCTTCACCGTGGAAGTTTTCAGCCTGTGCAGTGCTTGAAGGTGTCTCCATGGGACTGCACGGGCTGTGAGCTGTGCGTTCGCATTTGCCCTGCTGATGCACTGAAGTTGGCAGATGCTGCCAAGGTCATTGAGGTGCACGGTGCCATGGTGCGTCCCTGTGAAGATTTTGATGTGCCTGGTGTTAGATACGGTCAGATAGGTTCAGCTGTAATGATTTTGATGTGTCATGGCCAAAAGATATGGATTATAACACCACCATATAACTTGGGGGATGGCCATCAATCAATTTTAAGGGGTTTATAGACCCATTACAAGGTTTCCTATGATGGATGACCATCCCACACAAACCATCTTTTGACCATGGTGCATGGATCACAGCGAACCTTCGCTGATTTCAAAGCTAACCTGCAGGAAGAAGAAGCCAACTGGAACTTCGCTGTGACCCTGCCGGATCGTGGTGATGAGATTGACAAGACCACGGTCAAGGGCTCTCAGTTCCAGAAGCCATATCTGGAGTTCAGCCTCTTGGCTTCAGATATTGAAAAAAGGGGGGGTCAACCGCTGAAACCTCATTTTTTCTCGACAGCCATGGTGTGTGTTGACAGATGTCTCATTCTGATGCAAACATACCAAAATGAAAAGCTGCAGAGACAATGTCAGCGTGTCTGAAAATGAGGTATACGGTACAGAGTTTGTACACCCCAAATGGCGATGTTGATAGGAAGAAGGATTCTTAACCAATGGATTTGGAAGGTTTTCCCATCGTTTTCAGAGAAACCCATGTCCTTTGCTGAAGGTGGTGCCTGCGAGGGTTGTGGAGAGACACCTCACGTGAAGCTGATGACTCAGCTGTTCGGGGAGCGTTTGGTCATTGCCAACGCCACGGGCTGCTCGTCCATTTGGGGCGGCTCCAACCCATCCTTCCCCTACACCGTGAACTCCAAGGGTGAAGGCACGCGGCAAAGACAGCGGAGCCAAAAACCTCAAAGGTCCAGAGCCTGAAAACGTTTCAAGTGGCTCAAAGGTCTGGCCCAAAATGATCCTCAAAGGGTGGCCCAAACATCTCCGATCATTCTGGGATATTTTTGCGAATGCATTTTTGCCCAATGTCCGCAACCATCCATGAGCAGGCCCTGCATGGGCCAACTCGCTCTTCGAGGACAACGCAGAGTTTGGCTTCGGAATGCGCAAGGCTGAAGATAATTTTTTCTGCTTGTACTACCACAATGCCATACTTGGGGGTGCAGTTCTGGGTTTAGGAGTTTAGGGTTTATATTCCAGCTTCTTTGGGTTACATTTTGACCCAAAAGCTTCAAGAACTGTCCTTTGGCTTTTGGGAAACACCGATTCGGATGAAGTGGAAGGCAAGTTTCACGGTCCTGAGTTTCTGACCTGACTTGCTTGGTGAGGCCTTCAAGCAGCGACGCGACTACTTGGCGAACCAGGTTGAGGCCGGCCCGAAAAGCTTTCACTCTTTTGAAGGTCGCTGACATATCTGAAATATTCTGAAATGCTGGAAACTGATGAGATTTTTTGTTGCTTCTTTTCATGTGAAGATTTGGAAGTTGCTGTTTCCCAAACCTTTCGCTGGCAGATCCCTCAAGTTGAATGTTTCACCATGGTCCTAGCCGCAGGACACCCTGGCGGATAAGGAGGTCCTGATGAGAGAAGACCTCCGTGCTGCCTTGAATCAGTACTTGGTGATGCGCAAGGACCGGCCTGCCAAACTACCTTGGGGTCAGCCTCGAGTCCAATGGCGTTGCAGGGATGGTCATGTTCTTGTGATCAGAAGTGGCTATGGATCAATACCTATACATACCATTTTTAGGGGGATGAACATCCATAAATCCCAGCTATTTTGATGTGAACTACAGGGGTACAAGGTTTTGACACACTGCCAAGTGTGTGAAGCAAGACTTTGTGGGATGAAGTGCAGCTGGTGATGGATTCAGATTTGGATTCCGATCGATTCTGCCATTCAGACTGTTCAAGCCCAGAGCAGAGGACAAGACGTGCTTGATCCGCTGGTTGTAAACCCCTGAGCTAGCACCTCCATCCAGGCCAATGTACAGGGGTTTCGTTTTCTGATTATGGGTGAGTTCAGTTGGGAAAACCATCTTGGTTATCTGATAAAGATAGGCATCTTTCCCCATCTAAGATCATCAAAAAAGTCTATTCCCCGCATTTTAGACGAGGGGCCTCCCATGCCCAGTCGGCCAATAGGAGAACATGCACGACTTGCTGCTTCCTCGTGGTCGAAGTATCTACCACCAAATCATGGAGAAGTTGGTGCCACTTCTGGAGAAGGCCGTTTTGTTGGCCTGGATTCGACCCGTTCCACTGAGGAAATTTAAAACTTGATTGATGACTGTGTGATCACATGGGTCATTAAATGCCCCCATTGAACATCACCCAACCATTAGGTATATGGTCTATAGTGGCTACTATAAGGTGATGTCCAATATACCCAAAATGGGACAGTTACCAACCCCTGGATCACATCTAAACTGGCCAAATGCGACTTGTCAGGAGAAGGATACGCATGCCAAGATCAAGAATCTCTATGAATTGCTCCTTGTCTCAAGTCCAACACAGAAACCTTCCTTTTGAGGCTGAAATCAAGGCATAGTGGCATCATTGCATCCCACTAGAGTCACTAGTGAAGTTTCCAGCCATTTTGAGTCAGTGTTGAATTCTAAATTTCACAGCAAGAGAAAAACATCATTGGCTCAACTTTCAGAAACAAATTACTGTGGATGGAAGAAATCCTGCACCATTTGGTGGTGCAGGATTTCTTCCATCCTATTTTTAGGACTTCCTGTCCTGACAAGTTTTGAGCCAGGGAAGACATGTTCGGACGCAGCAGCTTCTGGATTGTGGGTGGTGACGGCTGGGCTTACGACATCGGCTATGGCGGCCTGGATCACGTCATTGCCAGTGAGGCACCTTGGATGGGCCCGAGAAAATGGATGACAGCATGGTGTTCATCCCAGCCCCCTAATGTTAAACACTCCGTAGGCCCTAAATGGTAACACATGTGTAAATTCAATATTAAACATATTGAACCATGGTTTCTGACAGGGTGTTTAAGACTAGGGCAACGGGATGAGTTAGTATGACTATCAAACAAATTCAGGTTTTTGAGCCAACGATTGAACAAAATCCCTTGCTTGTCTGCCCTGATCATACTGACTTTCCATATCTAGGACTCCAAACATGGACAGGTCCGGTACATCACAAAGGCTTTCATGAGTTTATGAGGTTTATGAGCTCTGCTTGGCTATCCTTGGACAATGATTCTATTCTTGGCAACTCCCATGGCAGCTGGGTTATTATAAAATTTGTGTGTCGTGGATGACAGTAGGATCCTTGAAAGACCAGGTTCAAGTTGATGCTCGAGCATCTGTTTTCGGGGAGCGTGGTTAACCTGGCAGGAACACGTCAACATCTTGGTGCTCGACACAGATCCCTGGCGCAAGAGTCGCAAGAGCTTGGGGAGTTCGCACACTCCTGTGGTTTTTGGTTGGAATGCAATAATATGTATCCAACCTGTAGAGTGTATAGCTTGTATCAACTGCCATCCCCCAGCAAAGTCAGCTTGAAACCAGTCGTCCCAGACTTGGTCTAGGGGAACATGTCAACCAGAAAAAAACATATGGTTTCACTGTTTCACAAATGAAACATATAAAGGTTTCCAGCTTAACATGCCCCGTCTTTGCAGCTAATTTTTTCCGTTTCACACTTTACACTCAATCTCACCACTATTTATCCATATTTCCAGCAAAAATCCATGGGTTTTCCCATGGTTTCCCATGGTTTTCCATGGTTTTCCCATGGTTTTCCACCAGGTTTCCCATCCCCATCCGCGCGTCCAAGGAGATGTACAGCAACACCGGAGGCCAGGCCTCGAAGGCGACGCCCAAGGGTGCCATGGCCAAGTTCGCGGAGAGCGGCAAGCTGACGGCCAAGAAGGATGGTCCCAGCGTCCCACGGATGTTTTTTTTGGGGAAAAATATGGGTTTATCTGAAAGTAGTGTACCCCTACACCCAATGGTTAATGATCATTATCCCTACTAAATGGCTATAATTGGGGGTATACCCCCATTTTCAGACATACCCATATGGAACAAATATGGAACAATGATAGGGGAAAACAAACTATTTGGGGTTGTTTTGTACACTTGTCTTTTTACAAAACATATCAAAACATCTGTTGATTGTTCTTTTTGGTTTTTGACATGTGGAGTGACATATTTCTATGTTTTCGATGGTTTGAAAACACCCATGGTTTGGGAGTGCGGGCTGATCATGGTGGTTGCCCATTCTTTTTTGAGTCTCCAAGGTTTGGAAAGTGACATTTTCAGATGGACAATCTTACGATTTGTTTGAGGAATGTGTCTTGGTTGGTCAGGAGTCTATCCAAAAGCATATGGGCCCACAAAGGTGCCAGGTGTGCAAGTGGAAGAAATAAGTTTAATTCTGACTTGGTAAAAACACCTACCTGGAGTTCCACAAACCTTGAGAAAGGAAAACATAATTCTCGTATGATCTTGCTGCATTCCAGTGCTTCGACAGGACATGGGACAATTGGCCATGACCTACAAGAACGTACCGTGCTTGCAAGTGGGACAAGGAACACTTAAGGGCCTAAGGGTCTTGAATAGTTACGATAGGATTTATTTGGAGTTTTGATGGGCGTTCATACACCATGGTCATCCATGGTCTATACCGTGTGCAAAGAAGATACTGCAACCCGGCTGTTTGTCCAGAACCCCTCACCAGGGGCGCTGCCATTGGATGTCGAGCCGCCGTCCTCCAATTGTCCTCTTGAGGTCTATGTGGCCAGCATTTGCGTGCATGTAAACCCGCAGCAGGTGCACTTTTGCTGTTGGTTGCATTATGTTACCACCCAAGTGTCGATGGGAACCGATTTGTTGGGACGATGTCACGATGTCCGTAGTATGAATAAAGCCTCTTCCAGGCGATGAAATGCATAAGTCATAAGTCCCTGTCCTGAACTCCGTGGCAGGCAGTCCGTGCTTTTATTGAAGCCGATGCCTATCCAGGACTGCACTGAGCTTGGTTGGGGCTCTTTTAAGCTTTAATTTTATCATAGACAACATTGATCAGAGATGTGATCCTGCTGAACCTGGGCTTCTCATGCATTTTTTGGATTTTTTTGGTTGTGGTGCGGGGGAAGAAGCAGTGGGACCACAGGACCTAGCATCATCTTGTCCTACACTCCTTGCATCAGTCAGGGATTCCCAATGGCCGAGTCCATTCAGCACTGCCAGATGGCGGTGGACAGCGGTTGCTTGGAGTGAGATATGCAACGTTTTTGAATGGTAATTGGTTTCTTATGTTTTGGGGCATTCAAAACAGCGTTGGTAGGCTTCTTTGAGTACAGGCACTGTTGATGCGAAAGTAAGTGGGGTAAGCCACAGTTTTTGTTAATGGATGATATGGATGACATCCTGAGGCTACTGGCCTTTGTACCGCTACAACCCCGAAGCGGCTGCGAATGGCAACAACCCCTTCCAGCTGGATAGCAGGAAGATTAAGGGCGACCTCTTCAAGTTCTTGGCCAAGGTCGGCTTCTTGCTGGGGCTTCAATCATCTTTGGACTGTTCTAGTATGCATGCTTATCATATTGCATATATTCAGGCTATATATTATATATATATAATTATATAATATTATATATATATATATATTCCAGAATCGTACTGTATTCGTCTATATTCTGTTACCCTTCAAGATTTCACACACACTGTTGGTTAGCCTCAGTTTGACATGCTCTAAGATCCACTGCTTCTCAAAGCTCCGATCCAGGAGAATCGCTTCGCGGCAGTGATGCGCCGCGATCCGAAACATGCGCAGGAGAGCTGCAGGGAGATCTAATGCAAAGCGTCAAACTGCAGGGAGCAACAAATAGTACTGACTGGCCACCCAGAAGCTAGGAGTTGCAATCGCATGAACCCCTCTAAAGCATGCGTGGCAGAAACCGTGGCATACACCGAGTTATCTCATCTTTTCTGGCATTGAAACGTTTCAGATTGAAACAGTTTCTGTTTTGTCGTTCATGTGTGCATTGGTGGTTCAAGGAGTTTCAATGTCAAGAGTGCCACGATGGCCAAGACTGTTTGAAGAACCACAAACTGTTTGAAACATCGAAATATTGTCAGGGGTTGGCATACAAAACAGTGAATTGGCGGTTTCCTAAAATAGTGGTACCCCCAAATCATCTATTGTAAGAGGATTTTCCATTAGAAAACCATCTAGCTATTGGGATACCTCCTTTGTGGAAACCCCCAGGTGGCCAAGAGATTTATCTTGTGCCGTTGGCAGGAGCTCGATGACCGACTGCAAGAACAGGTGGTGCAGAAGAACCACTTGCTGCAGGTGCTGAACAAAGAGGACTTGGAAGGCGCGGCTGCTGGGTTGAGGTACACCTTTATCTTCTATTCACATTCCAGTTTTGATTTCATATATATATACATACAAGATATATGATACATAATATATATATATATGATATATCAATGATATGTGATATATATATATATATATTTATGATATATCAATGATATGTGATATATATATATATATGATATATCAATGATATGTGATATATATATATATTATATATATGATCTATGCTTTTATATAATTACAATTATGTACTTATTGATTGGTTCGCAGAGATGGAGATGGACTTGACACAACGGGTGAGGTCAATTCCACAAGTTGGTGGAGGGTCTGTCGGATGCCAAGAGCACTGCTGACATGGTGCCTTGGTGAAAGTTTCGACCTCGAGGTCCTGGACAGGACATTTGCTGTTTGGACAGGACTTGGGACTTCTCCGGCATAACATATTTTAACAGAGCACTCCCGACATATTTATATATATATATGTATATATATATATGTGTATATATATATATGTATATATATATATGTATGTATATATATATGTATATATATATATATATATGTATATATATATGTATATATATGTATATATATATATATGATTATATATTCATATATTTGCATTACTTATGCTAGGTAAACCATTTGTTTCTTCTGGAGGTGAGTTCTGAGTCGCGATTTCAGTACATTCTTCATGTTTCCAAGTGGTAACATACATATTCTTAATCACCTTAGGCCTTAGGCAAGACATGGCAGTTTCTGTAGCACATTTTTTAACGCTATGCTTGTGCTACGCCCATGTCTTAGGTCACGGTGCTGTATGGAAGTGAGACCGGAAATGCGGAAGAGCAAGCCAAGAACCTCATGCAGGTGGATGTTCTCAGATCAGTGGAGTGGCGGAGTGGCCAGATGCGTCGTGGCATGGGATGGAGAGATATGGAGAACAGCCTGGCTATCTTTAGATAATATACATATATATGATTCTATATATATATATATGATTATATATATATGATTATATGTAACTGGTGTGACCCAGCTCACTGGTAGCCCAAGACCTGATCACCTCCTTGGCCTCAAGGAAATTCCCAATGTATGATTCCTATCACACAGTTCCAAAAGATCCTTCCAGAGATAATAAACTGCTAACAGTTGCCACAACCTGAAAAAAGAGGTTTCCCAAGCACTCACCAAATGGCGTCCCCGCCGCCAACTATTTTGCCTGCTCGCCTAGGGGCCCTTGAGCCACCGGTACGACAGTTGAAGGACATGGTGCAAATGGCCATGTCAGAACCCTCATGGAAATGGACAATCGAAGGAAGGGACATCGGCACTGGAAAATTCACACTGGCCCATCTTTAAAGTTTCGATTGTTATCCCCATTATTCCCCATTTTATCATTAACCCAGGTTACCCCATATTTGCGAGTGGCATTTTGCTTGAGAGTGAGGTCTTCGTCGTATATTCTAAATTTTCCAAGTTGCAGCACTGTTCGAAGGAAAGTTGCGTCCATCGGCTTGGTCAAACAATCAGCTAACATGATGGCCGTGGAGACCCATCTACAAATGGTGTGTTCTTTTGACTGCTCCTTTAAAAGCATCACTTCGATCGTGGTTCGCCATTCCTGGCAATTTGGAACAGCATTCTTTGTGATCAAGTCATACAAGGATTTGCAGTCGGTGATCATTAAACCCTTATGTTCGTTTTTCAAAGAAGTTTCAGGCCTGTACCACTGAAAATCTGGATTTTTGATGAAACCCCAAAGACACCGAATCCATGTTAGTTTATCAAGTGAACTGGACATTGAGTAAGCTTCTGCACTAAGGGTAGATCTTATCACTCGGCCTATTTGTTTCGAATGCCACACAATTGGTGAAAACTCTGTGGTTTCGTTCACAGCTAGTTTGGGGGAACATGCCATGATAAAAAGGCCCTGCTGCGCACTTAGTTGCTTGGCAGATGCAAAGCTAGCATCTCCAAAACTGGCAAAACACACAGTTTCCATTGGTAGAGGTCTCACAGTTACCGATGTGTCAGCGAACTGCTGAGCTTCCTTCAAGACACGATTACCCTCAAGGAGAGTTTCGACTGTTGCGGCATTTATCCCCTTTTGAAGATTGGCCACTTTGGTAGCTATGTCAGGACGTGAGTGCACGGCTGCATACTGTAAACTGCCACATAGTCCTCTGAGTTGGGTCAGCTCATGAGCAGTTATGGGACTCTGATTTTCTTGCCTACGTGGCTTGGGAATATTAATAGGCTGGATTTTATGGATGTATCGACCTTGGTTTACTTTGATGGAGAAGTCTGGGAGTTGTTCGACATCCAAACCGGTAAATTTAAATTTACCATATTCTCGGCTTCCAAATGGCAAAATTTCCTGAAGTTTCTCCAGGGCCTTTTCGAAGTTATGATTGCCTCCACCGATGCCGTCATCGACATGAGTTCCAAGTATCCCATCCAAGCTTTTGGGGTCATTGGGGTTCCTTAGTAAGAGGCAATTGTCTAGGGGATGTGCACTAAACCCAACTTCTTCAAGTTGTTTTCGGAATTCTCGATAGAACAAGAGTGGTGCATCAACTCGGCCGTAAGCATTTCCCTGTAACAAGCATACTTGAGATGAATCCATGTTTAATAAAGAACGTAATTCCGGGGGGGCTTCCATAGCGAGTTCTCGATTATCAGACTTACCCCTCAAGAACGCAGTAGTAATATCAAACGATTGGATCACCCAGTTTTTGCTGGAAACGGTTTGAAGAAGCAACATTCGAGCATCTCTTGTCAAGGTAGGAGAATCTGAGCATAAGACTCCAATGTCAGGATCTTGAAATCCCTTGACAACTAGCCTTGCCTTTGCCTTTTTGCCATTCGGGGCGTTTGGGTCTTCTTTCCAAGTCAATATCCATCGTGATGCCATGATTCGGGAAGGATGTATCTTATCCCTCATGATAGCTTTGACAGTATTGGTATCAAGCCAACAATGAAGTTCCTTTTGTTTCGCCTTTTGGAATAAAACTTTTTCTTCAGGTGACAAGTTACTGTAACAAATTTCATTTCGGGATTTGTTTGCCGCAGCAACAAGGCACTCCAAGTATTCCCCAGGCTTTTGCAGGAAACGTCTGAACTGTTGGTCTTGGATGTCAAATTCAAATGAGGCGCAAGCTGCTGAGTGCTGATCCGGATCTCTCCAGTGCGTCTCCTGATCTTCGATGATGATGTCGTTTTGGCAACAATTTTCCTGCAGGATTGCATTGTACACAGGTTCCATATCAGGATCTGTAATAGTTTCAGATTGATCCGTTTCGGCAGAAACTGTATCAGAAGCTTGATCCTCTCCTTCCATGCTAGGGCCGACAGATGGCGTCGGTATTGGGGACTCCGGCACTGGAGTCTCTTGAGCTTCCCTAAGTCTTTCCTCTGTTTCTTGGAGGTCCGTAGAGATACGACGGATGGGTTCTTCTTCAGGCTGTGGCCTAGGTACTGGAGTGTTATCCTCATGGTCTATGGGAGGATTATCATTAACACTTAAGTCACTTAGGTCAGCATATTGAAAAAGGCCGCTGCGTTCTCTCAGTTGGCTTTGTAACTTTTGAGCCATTTGTTGGAGTTGTTCCGGTGACGTTGTTTGAACAAATGTGGAATGACGTTGGAATTCTCTGAGAGACACCGGACGGAGATTCTCCCTAGCGCATCTCAAAAGTCGATTCAAATGTGAAATCCAGACAATCGTTCGAGACTCGGAACAGACAACTTGAGCCGGACCGTTCCATCGTCCCTTCTCAAGCATATTGGCTGATTTTCTTTTGTCCCAATACATGCATAATTGACCACATGACCAACTATGGGCTACACCTCTGGATTGATGATTCATTGCTCTTCGAATGGCTGCACTGTTGTCTGCCTGTGAGAAAGCTGCTCGGGCCGAGGCACGCAATTCCAGCTTCTGTCTGAAAAGATCGGAGGCTAAGTCCTTTCCATCACATGCCATATGTGCTGTCAGATCTTCGTCTGACACAACTGAGGCTGGTAATTTGGAGGCTTTTCCTAAGACAGCTTGTTCTGGACTATAACCCTCATGCACTGACATGGTATAGGTTTTTCTTGGTCCATTCGATTCAACATCTCTTTGATTACCCCTCCATGTCTTTCAATGCGGCCTCTCTGCCATGGTGCCGATGAGAGGATTGGAGTAATCCCATTTTCCTGCAGGAACAGCTTCCATTCATCCGTGACAAATTCTCCACCTTGGTCATGTGCTATTTGATTTGGTGTCCCAGCCCATTGCAACCACATATCCCTAACTCCTTTGGTAAGCAACTGACTATCCCTTTGGGTCCTACGACCAAGATGAAATCGGGTTGCATCGTCAAGAATGTGAAGGACATAGGTGGTAAGTCCACTTTTAGATTTCCATTCAAAACCGTCTATGGATATCTTTTCATTAAATTCCTTGGGATCTTTCAGGTTACCTGGCATGGATTTGTGGGGACTTGTTAGTTCAGCACATGATTCACACTGGAAGTCTTTGGCACCTTCTATCAGCTGGGGCAAGGCATGCATTTCGGTCAGGTGTCGGGCAAGTCGAGCTGCTGTTGGGTGTCCTAAGTTCCTATGAAGTTTTCTGATGATCCCTTTATCTTTATCGGACAGTGCCAAGAATTTGGGTCCCGACACAGTGGCCGACATGGGAGTCCACGGTGGAACATCTACTCGGCAGGGCGTCACAACCGCTTGGCTTCGGTCAGGCTGATTGGAAGAGACATTCTCGCTTGCGGGCATGGGCACATCAGATGCTTCGATCTGATCATGACTACTTTCCGGAGCAACTTCACGAGGACGTTCGGAAAACAGGCACAGCATGATGTGACTGGGTTTGGCTTTACGGTGTTGTTGCATTTTGGAAAGATTGGACCAGTTCTCAAGTCCCAAGTCCTCGATCTGACGGGCCGTCCGGTGCAAGACAATGGTATGTCTCATCGGGAACTCTTGGCTCCAAACAGTCTCACCTAGTATATACCGTTCTAGGCCCTTCCCTGCTTTGATGACTCCAATTCTTTCTTGTGGCACTATTGCTTGGATTTCTTTGAAAACTTCATGAAACGGATTGGTCCAAGTTTGAATTCCTGATTTTGGCAAACAGTTTCGTAGTTTCACAAAAACTTCATCCCAAGGGTTATTTGGATTTTCCGGGGGATTATCTATTCTAGCCCTCTTTGCAGGTGGTTCATCTTCATGTACGGTATATATGGGTACTGGAATGGGTCCCTCTTTGGTTCGCAACAAACCCTTGACGATCACCTTGGCAAATGTTCTGGGATACATTCCGGCAAAACTGGAAACTTGAACAACATGACCCTTGTGATTGCCTCTGCCAGCAATATGGGCATGTTGGTGTGTATGGTCACATATGCGATTATCCAGGGTTTCCCACATGGTTCGTGAAGAGGTCTGGACTCGGGTTTTCTTTTCCATTGGATCCTGGCTATTCGGGTGCTGGAGACCTAGCATGCACTGATCGAGTCGTGCGGGCAAGGAGGCTTGCAAGAACTCTTCCAATGCTCTTTGCTTCCATAGACCGGATGTCCATGGGTTCTCAATATGAATATGTCTATCTTCAGCAAGTTGAATCTTGGCGATCAAGTTGCAAAGCTTGATATGCACTTGGGAGTTTTCCTGTTCTTGACAAACTCGATGGAACCCAGAGACACTTCGTTGAGCATTGAAACGATTCCATGCACTCCAAGGCTTGCAATCCGGTGCTAGCCACACATGCTTGGGTCGGAACAGCAGGATTTCCGTCAGAAGTTTTACCCTACCTGAGGTAGTGCTTAAATCCCCATCTTCTCTGGTAAAACGTTTGGCACGTAACCCACAAGCTATTGCAGTGTCCGTGAGTTTACTATTGGGATATGCATAAACTTCTAACAGGTCCAATTGCTTACATTGATTATTTCCCTTTTGAATCAACTTATAAACTTCTTTCATCCATTGAACTTCTTCATGATCTGTTATGGGAAATTCTGACTTCATCGACCGGCGGAATCGTGGAGATTCTCCTGGAATAGTTTGCCATACGCTCAGTTCACGATCTGTTGACGAGCAACTTCTTCGAGACGACGTCGGGTGATGCAGTAATTGGCGAAGTCCTCCATGACCTCGTTGAGGGAATCGACGCGAGCAAGGATCCATTTCACATAGCTTGGATCCTGTTCGTAGGTCGCGACATACGAATCCCCTTTGCACTTCTTTCCCCATGTGATGGCTTTTTGTCCCCAAGTGTCCAGAGCGGCTTGAGTCAGCGACACTTGATGAACATTGTTGTCGGGGATCACACGAGGAGCTGCTCGAGCTGTCGGTGGTGCAGCTGAGATCTGGTACTGGTTTCCAGGCAAATTGATTCCAGCAACTTTCATGCTCTTCTTCCCACCACATGTCTGAGGTCCCAAAACTATTGGCATGGAAGTACTTGGGGCCGGTGCAGCTTGGCTGGGTCCTGGTACTTCGAAGCTTGGGGTCATGTGAGTGTTTTCCATTTCGATGGCCTCCCAGATGTCGGACGGTGGTCCACTGGTGGAGTGGCTTGGACTGATCGGCTGGTTCTTCATTTGGGTCTGCTGTACAATCAGCTGGCCCAGCTCGGTGATCTTCTCCCGCTGGTTCTTGACTTCCATCACCAGCTGGTGAATCGGCAGCATCTCTTGCTCCGAAACCACTTCCTCCGGAGACACTGCCTTCGTCATGGTGAACAGCATTGTGAAGAGCACTCGAAGGCTCTCCAAGATCTCTTCCGCCAAAACGCGGAATCCCTCCAGAATCTCCTGTCGGCTCGGCATGGTGCTTGGCGTCAGGGAGGCACAAACCTGGTGGTGGCTGCAACTGCGATAGACTTGATGTCACGTGAACGGCTTCGAGTTCTGGCTGACTGGACTGACATAGATCGGCAACGTCAATAACAAACAAACCATTTGCATTCTCACGAAGTGGCAGTGACCTTTTTATCGTTTGCAAAAAACAAGACTCATGTACCAAATCAATAACAGCACCCAAACTCTTCATAGCTTTGATTGATAACAAAAAGGGAGTTGCTTTGGGAACAACTTCAATCAATAACCAGATACGCAACTTTCCATGAACCAACGGTATTTGCAACTGTTTGAAACTGTAGGCTATTTGGTTGTTGCCGAACCGGAATCCGATCTTGCTTGGCTTCTCACGGACAAGTTTCCTCACATTGGCTGGCAATTTTTGCAAGACAGCAGGCACGTTGTCAGCTCCTATCACGGAACGGCTAGCTCCTGTGTCTAGGATTGCCAATCCATTCTGTACGTTCATTCGGCATGAAACTTCGTTGATATGTTCTTCAGGGACTTTCGGACTGGGATTGTTCTTCGGCAAGCACGGTGAAGCTCTCAGCATTGGGCTCTTCCTGTCAAGGGCAGCAGTGGTGTATCTTGCTGGCTCTAAAACGGGCTGTAACTGAACTGTGTATGCCTTATTTATCCCATTCTTATTCCTATCCCCTTTATCCCCAAGGTTATTACTTGACTTTTTCCAGTGCCGTGACAACCGATGGGACAAAAACTCGGATGCTTGCTTACGGATGCAGGGTGCGATGACATATGGGAACGGATGCTGGGTTTTGTCCACGCTATGTACAACGAAACATGTCTCTACTGGAAAAACTTGGGCCTCGTCGGACAACTCAAAGTGAACCTGCAAGAAGTTAGGATCGTCTCCTCCTTCAACTTGTACTAGGTTGGCTTGTTCTCGAGCTTGATCTCGACGCGGACACTCTGCTTTCCAGTGCCCCATGGCACCACAAATCTTGCAGTGTGTGCGCGCTATGCGCGCCAGAAGCTCGTCCTTGCTGCTTCGTTGGCCACCTTTTCTGAACCCTTTGTTGGCATCACGTCCACCTTTGCCACGGCCTTTAGAGGGCCAAAAGCCTCGGTGGCGACGGCGTTCGCTAATGCGCTGCCGTGCCTCCTGATAGCTCAAAAGAGCCGTTTGTAGGTCCGGGATGTCCTGCATCATGTCTTCGAAGTCCTTCTCGAACTGCTGGATGAGTAGAGCATCTTCGTCTCCACCATGAGCCAGGGAGTCCAAGGTCTCTGCACTAAGAGCATCGTCATCTTCGATCTGAGTGTAGTATGCATAGTTCACAGTGGTTTCATCTTCCACTGAGGGATTTACATTCTCGGTTTCCACAAAATTCGTGGGGTAGATCTTCTTCTTCGGCTCTGCTGAAAGGACTGATGTTGCCAGAGTGCGCATGGATTGTTCCACCTTGGCAGTTTCCATCGTCCCACCTGTCATTGTGAGCACACGTTTCTTGTCCTCCACAGTCAACGCACTCTGACGGATGAGCAAGAATGCATGAAATTCCTGCACTGTCACCTCACCCAGCTCGTCCATGGCCACTTGGAGTCTATTGACAAAACTGGTTGTTGACTCGTCAGCTTTCTGCGTAGTCTTGTAGATGGCTTTTTCAAAAACTTCATACGTTTTCATTTCTGCAGATTCTTCCCAACTCGAAAGAGCTGCTAGTAAATTTTTCACTCCATTGGTTTTGTCCGTCAACTTCTCAGGGCTAATTGCTTTCACTTGACCCCAGGCAGTTCCCTTACACAGCATGGCTAATCTCGGGGCTAACATACCCTTGTCACGGTCTGGGCAAATGGCCGCTAAGAATTTGACTTTTTCCACATATTCTCGCACATTGTCCTGTGCTGGATCAAAACTGGGTAGTAACGACCAGAAGCCTTGGCCACGATCTTCTCCACCACTGCTACTGGACATTCCTGGATCCCTTCGGCTTTGCGCTGAAAGAAAAAAGGCAGCGAGCCCTTAGGCTCCGCTACCAGTGTAACTGGTGTGACCCAGCTCACTGGTAGCCCAAGACCTGATCACCTCCTTGGCCTCAAGGAAATTCCCAATGTATGATTCCTATCACACAGTCCCAAAAGATCCTTCCAGAGATAATAAACTGCTAACAGTTGCCACAACCTGAAAAAAGAGGTTTCCCAAGCACTCACCAAATGGCGTCCCCGCCGCCAACTATTTTGCCTGCTCGCCTAGGGGCCCTTGAGCCACCGGTACGACAGTTGAAGGACATGGTGCAAATGGCCATGTCAGAACCCTCATGGAAATGGACAATCGAAGGAAGGGACATCGGCACTGGAAAATTCACAATTATATATATATATATATCTATCCAGTTATAACCTCAAGTGATATCCTCATTGTATAGCTATTGTTCTCCATCTAATCCCATGATATAGCCATTATTAGGCGCTTCCACCCAGTTGTAGCGGTGGAGATCCCGTGTTCCCGTGTCAGGACATCAGGGCCCGTGGGCTCAAGGCCCAGGTGTCCTCCTTGGATGACTTTGACTTCGAGGAGTTGCCAAATCAGAAGATCGTTACTTGGCCGCCATGGCCGCCATGGATTTTGATGGTGATTTTTGATGGTGATTTTTCAGCTTTTGATGGGGATTTTTCATGGTGATATATCATGGTGATGAACCAAGAATGGGATGGGGGATATAACATATTTGTGATTTGATGCTGCTTTAATGGTGATTGAATGGCGATTTAAGCAACAGTGGGATGGAACAATGTTGAGATAATGGGGATTTGACCAACAGAAAAATCTTCATCAACGAACAAACGATAGGGAATTAATAAAAAACAACAGGGATTGAATGGTGATTTGATCAACAGAAAAAGAAACATGAATACCATGGGTCACAACCGGCAAACAATGGGGATACCCTCCTGTGTCCTCCAACATGGCTGGCTTGGAAAATCCTTGCACTAAAAGGGCATTGAAATGGGAAAAATCATTGAACTAAATGGGGGACACTCCAGAAAAACTTGTGCACTTCTCAGCAAGCCATGTTTGACTACCGGAGGGCAATGGACAAATGGTGGATTTTCTGTGAAATCTATGGCAATTTTAGTGGTGGAAATGAGGTTTTCCAACCGCCGGATTTTGGCTTAGCCTATTTTAAATTGAAATCCGACCCATCCCACGGATGCGTAGCCGATGCTGCTCCATGCTGTCTTGAGTCATTGTCAGGTGATCCTGGTGGTTTCCACCTGCGGCTTGGGTGAGTTCCCTGCCAATTCCAAACAGACCTGGCTGAAGTTGCAGTCCCAGGACCACTGGATCACCAGGTCCCCCAGGTCCTCCAGGTCCCCCCGAGGTCCCCTGGTCCCCGCCCTCCACCAGGACTTGCCGATGAGCTGGTTGGCTGGCACCAAGTTTGCAGTCTTTGGCTTGGGAGATTCCACTTACAGCATCTTGGCCTTTGACCAGGAATGTAGATGGTCTACTTATTTGGTGGCTACGTTCATGAACCCTTCTCAGTATACCCCATTGATGTTTGATTTGCCCATTAACTATCAGAGACCATCATCAACCATATTATCAATCACCCATCAACCACTACTAACCACTATTGACCACTATCAACCAATATCAACCAATATCAACCACATCAACCACTATTAATGGCGACAATTTTGACCTTTCCACTTTTTTCTCCCACAGATGGCATAGCATCTGAGGCCAGTTCTGCGTGGCAGCCATTCAGTTCGACACGCGCCTTGGTGAACTGGGTGGCCAGCGCATGCTGAAGCGCGGTGTGGGCGACGACCGCGATGAGGCGGGAGCCTTTTATATATCCATTTTATGGATTCCATGTCTTTTTGGTCTTGGGCTTTTGGTAGTTTTGCCAGGTCTTTTAAAGGTCCTTTTTTTCAGGAGGGTTGGTCTCTTTTGGTAAATTCCAACCAGTGATTCTGTGGCAGGACCGCTACTACACCGGCTGGGAGGCTTGGTTGCCAGAGCTCTGGAAGGTCATGGGCTTGCCGCAGATGCCCCTGTCCCAGGCGGATGGCAATTTGGAGGGATGTCGGGGATCTGGGTTCCTCCTAAGAATTGGGAGGGACATGATGACAAACCACCCCAAAATCGCTGTTTGAATGGGAACATCAGGTTTTTGAACCATTGGATTTTGTGAATCAGCTCTTAAACCCTTGGATTTTCGGTGTTTTTCCTTATATATTTTCTTAGAAGCCTCATATATTGGTGAGATCATGTAGCCTACCATGAGCCATGTTGGTGCAACCCATCGACAGGAGGCACCGGCTCCGTGCTATCGCGTGGATGTGAGTGAGGGCGCTAAGTGGAGACTGGGGACTCACAACATAATGACATACCCTCTGGTAAACTAACATAGCTATTGAAAATACCCCATTTATAGTGGATTTCCCCATTGAAAATGGTGATTTTCCATAGCTATGTTAAATTACCAGAGGGTAATGTTCTTTCTGTGACCATGCATGGTATTGTTACAGATATTACAGATATTATAGTTTATAACTGGATATAACTGGTATGGTTGCGTAAGACACAGTTTGGTATATATATATATATTTGGCATGAGACAGAATTGCCAGATTGCCAGATATGAAAATTGGCTTGTTGGTTCATGGGTCCAACACGAACCTGTCCAAGGGCTTTTCATTTCCAACATCAGCCAGTGATGAGAACAAGCGGAATGCCCAAGCAGTTGGTCATCTCCACAGATTTTCCAAGGTGGCACAGGCAAGCCTCCTGTCAGTGACGATGACATTGTGCCACCGGGAGCTGCAAAACTGACGCTGTTGCACAACTCCTTGTTGGTTCCGGAGAAGTACGATCGTGACATCCGCCATTATGAGTTCAAGTGGCTTGGTGAGATACGACAGACGTCCATTGGAGGAGGCGTTTTGTTGGAAATGGCAATGGTAGCAATGTGTAGCAATGGAATAGTTCTGAATTTCAGAGCCAAATATGTACGTTCACTCATATGGTATTTCTTGCCCCGTTTGACTGGATCTCATCATATCTTCCTGGAATTTGTGTTTCCCCTTTTCAACCAAGCAGCTCGAGGATCGAAGGAACCCCTGTGAGCTACAAGACGGGAGACAGCTTGGCAGTATGGCCCCGCAACCCCCTGGACAAGGTTGAGGCAGGGCCTGTCCAGAGCTTCTAGGCATCTTTATTGCCTGTGCAAGCGCACGCTTGCATTGCAAGTGACTCAATTGGCTGCATTGCCAACTATTCATGGATGGTTAAATCTAGTTACCAAGTATGAAGGGATTTCCTTCCTCAATCTTTGAGTAGGGTTGAGTTTCATTGATGTTTGGAATCGCCCAACTCCTTCTACCCACATCCAGGAGTTCTGCAAAGAGATGGGCTTTGATGCCACGCAGAACCTCCGAGTTTTGCCGATGGAAGGCATTTGCTCTGGTGGTTTAGCCGTGTTTAAGATCTTGGCGGAGCGGAAACAACAGATCCAACAGCATAGCGAACTTAAGGATATCGAGCTGAAACTTGCAAGATCTAGATGTATCTATATAGATATAGTGTCCATTCGTGTCCCATATTCTTTCCCACTATTTCCCTGCAACAATCTGTTGATTTTGAGACACTACAGGGCCCAACGTTGTGCAAGATCCAGCCGCAGGTGCTCGAAACTGGTGTCCACAGGAGCTGTCGGTGAGACAGGTCTTCAGCCACGTGTTGGACATCTTTGGAAAGCCAAACCGAAAGTTCTTCGAGACTTTGTCCTTCTTCGCCAAGGTCAGGGATGGTCCGGGATGGTCAGGGCTTCGAAACAGACCATTGTTTTTATATGTTTTTATTGAGGGGACTGTAAGCCCATACCGAAATCATTCGGGTGTTTGATATTTGGTTCACGCTCACATTTTTTGGCCGTTTTTTTTTGCCATAAATTCTGTGAGTCTTGTAGGTGCCCCCCATTGTTTGTATCATGCCACCAGGACGAGGCCGATAAGAAGGCGCTGCAGAGCATCGTGGAGAACAGCGCGGAGGGTCAGGCGCTGTACCGCGACTTAACCCAGGACTTTGCACACCACGCGAATGTCTTCAAGAAGTCACCTGGTCATGAGCGGCCAAGAAACATGAGGGATGAATTTGGGGGTTTACTGTTTAGTAGCAGCTAACATGGTGGTATAGTCAATAAATGATGCTTTGATGGTGGTTGATGGCAGTTGCTAGCGGCCTGGAAAACTGTGTTTATGATATCGAGGAAGACTCTTCAGAGAAGGCTCTAGACAGATACGTTCTCGCCAGTGGGCACTGGACGACTGGAGTGACATTTGGGGTAACGAAGGATGAGATATTTCCCAGGGTTTGGGCCTTGGGCACTCATTCGGGGATGCCCATGGCCCCATGGCAGCCTCAGAATCTTCGATGTGATCAATTTGGATCTTGTGATTTTCCCAGGTTCAAGAGTGCACGACCTCCCATTGAGCAGCTGCTGAACATGATTCCAGTGCTGAAGCCTCGAAGTTCTGGGCTGAGTGGTGCAGGGCTGCGGCCACTCATGTGGTAAGGCGAAGATCAAATCACTAGTCAGGTGTGTCTAAAACAGAATATAACAGAATATACCTAGTTGCTGGAGATTGGCATATTTTCTAGTTCTTGTGATCAACCACAGAAACACCAGTGGCCTGCAGCCTGTGGCCTGTGGCTTTACTTTCAACTTTCAAGTTCCAAGTTGTCCAAATTGCATGTCTTTCCCGGCCTCAAGTTTCAAGTTTTCGGTGCAATTCGCTGGTGATCTCCAGCACATCCAGAATTTCTTGGGATATTTCCAAAACTTCTCCCCAGCGAAGCTGGGACAATCTCCGGCTGAAGATTCCCAGCCTGAGGTTATTCCATTGCCAGCAGCCCCTTGATGCATCCCGACAAGATCCAGCTCTGCGTGGTGCTGGTGGACTGGACTGTGGAGAGTACCCAAGAGTTGCGATTGGGAGAAGCCACAGGCGCTGGATTTTTTTTGGGAAAATCGCATGTCTACATATGGTAAATGAATGTAAATGAAATATAGTACGTAGTACGTATACGTATACTGTGGAATTATATTATACACTATGATACACTATGTATGCAGCACTGCGTGTCATTTGCATTATTTTGTGGTGGAGTGCTATGCTGCACTTGCCCGTGCTCAGTTGAGCATCGCAGGCTACATGCGACAGCAGAAACCAGGCACCACCATGATGTGTGCAGTGCGGCAGAGCGCCATCGTACTGCCGAAGGAGGGGACGGTGGTGCTCAAAAGCGAAGATTTAATCGGATTTCTTTGAAAAAGATGGGTTCTGCCAATGCTCAGAATCTAAAACTCCACATTATAGGTCTTTTGCTGGATGAGTTTCCACTATTTTCTTATGATTGTACATTCAGATATGTTCTTCAAATATGATATCATCTCCTCCATTTTCTTGATGGTTTTCGCTTTCTGCCACTTTCGAAAAAAAAACATATCTCCGAAGAATCCGAAGAAGTTCTCACCTCCAAATCTGTCCTTCACCATGTTTTTAGCATTTTTTAGCCATTTTTAAAGGAGGCCACCAAACCCGTGATCATGGCCGGCATGGGTACCGGCTTGGCTCCATGGCGAGCAGTGACGCAGGCGCCTTGGCAGATCGGGGAAGATATCGATGTTTCATGGGGATCCAGCCATATATATCCAGCTTTATTCCAATCAGTCCAATCAGAATCAGATAGAATCAGCATATATATATATATACATATATATATATATACATATATATATATCATGAAACCCAGAATTTTATGGAGAGTGTTATGGGGCTGCGATGGGGATGTGATGGGGATATATAATGATTAGTATAGGGGTTATACCACGTGGTTAAACTGGAAGTGTCAGAAGCCATGAGAGGAACCTCTAGGATGATGGGTCCTGATCATCATTGATTGAGATGATGCTTTGTATTTGTATTGGAAGAAGGGACAATGAAGTATTATCTCTATTCTTACCCAGGGTCAAAACTACTCGGCATCATGATCAGTCTGCTGTTATGTCAACTTCAACTTCAACTTATCCATAAAGTGGATGATTGTAGATCCCCCAAAAACGACCACATGTGCCAGCTATGTGCCGTATCCAGCTGAGGAGCGAATCTGCCAACACCGAAAAGGAGAAAAGGTGGGCCCCTGCCATCTCTTCTTTGGTGCACGCTACAACGCAGCAACTGGGTGGCATGGGCCATGGCCGGTTGCATTCGTTGTCCATCCGAAGGTTTGAATGAATTGTTTGGGATCCCTCAATGAAGAGTGAGTGATCCTTCGTTGAGTTCAGGGTCATCGACGTTTCGATCAATTAATCTGAGATCCCTCAATGAAGACATATGAAGACCCACTTGGACTTTGGTTGAGGGTTACCAAAACCAGCCAAACATTGAATCTGTGGATTGCTGGTGATCAAAAATTGATTCAAAACCAGCCTGTTTTGTAGCAAAATGGAATCACACATTGGTTGAACATTGTTCTGAGGAGTATTTGTACAAGGACGAGTTTGAAGGTTACGTGAAGGAGGGCGTGCTGACGATGCACACGGCCTTCTCGCGTGAACAGGCCAGCGCCAGCTGTGGGCATGGGAGGTTGTGACTGGGGGTGTGGAAGTTCTGGATCTAGTCCAATTCAATGAAGTATGTGATGCAACTTGTTGTAAGTTTGACAGAACCAAACCATCATTTTCTCCAGTGAACCAAGGAGCTACAAAACCAGAAGCGTTCAATTTATTGTCGCAGCACTGGGGAAATGGGTTTTGAGCGCCAAATCGTAGTTCAAACCTCTTCCCCTCCAGTATAAATAGACTCCTGTGAGACTTGGATTCTGGAAGGTCCCGCCTGATGGACATTTGCTGGGCCTGTGGACCTTGAGTCATTGAGATGTAAATTACACCTCTTGACCACGAGACCACTGCCAGGCCCGAAAGATCTATGTGCAGCACAAGATTGTGGAGGCGACATATCCAACTTGTGGCCACGTCCGTCGAATTCGATCAGTGGAGTGATTCATCACTGGATCCATTGAATCGATGAGTTCAGTGGGCACAGGTTTTTGGGCCATGGGCCTTGCCATGGGCCTTCAATGGCTCAAGTCCTTGATGAAAGTGCCCATCTGTGAAGCCCATCTGTGAAGCCACCCTTAAAATTGGTGTCTGGGAAATTTGCAGCAACAATCCCGTATTTGATGGGAACAACATGGAACATTGATTTTCTGTAGATTTTCCGTCCAACCTATTGAAAGTTGCACCTTGAGTCACTTGATACTGTCAGGCGGGTCAGGCCGTCCACGAGTGCATGCTGAAGCAGGAGGGCCACTTCTACGTGTGTGGCTCCGCGCGACAAGTGCCTGAGGACATCTACACGGCCATGAAGGAGGTCAGATTTTGGTGGAACATCGGCCGTTTTTTGTAGTGGGAACATGTTAGTAACCATAGATGCCATAAGTAGTTCACCCATGGGAGAACATGTTAGTAACCATAGATGCCATAAGTAGTTCACCCATGGGATAATCCATTTAGGATATTTAGGGGACTTAGGATCACCAGGGTTACTAAATGTGAAAGCACCAAGCACGGATTCCTGGGATGCTCCAGGTGATGATGGCCAACGAGCGAGTGAACGAAGATGAGGCGGAGGCCATCTTGTCGAACCTGAAGATGGAGGGCCGCAACTTGGTTGGACCTGGATCCAAAATTGGTTGCGAAACTTGGAGGTTTCCTAAGTCATGGGGGTACCCCTTAAATGACTTAGTGACTTAGTGACTTGAAACACGCCATTTTAAGAAACCACCATTTGGGGTTTCATGTCCAACGGGGTTTGTTCACCTTAGGCAGTGACGGCTTTGTTTGATTCATGGTGGGAGCCTGGAGGGTCACTGGAGACCAATCCAGCGGTTTTTGATCCCACAGGAAGGCTCAGAATGTCTGGAACTGGAATTGGACGCCAAAAAGGGCGATGTTTTAAAACGTTCATGTCAAGTTTCTTCCAAATTACCATGACTCAAGGCATTCAATATTGATACAACGACTCTGGACATCTAGACTTTATACCCTGGCCAGAGTCCCTGAAGAGTATAGGGAACAGAAACTTTACCGCTGTTGATTGCCTCAATTTATTTCCATGGCCAGTGCTGACGAGTTTCTTACCCTCCAGCACTCTCCGGTCCCTGGATCCAAGGATACACCGTCGAAGCGTGGTCCTAAGCCACTGAGTTTTCAAGATTTTCTGAAGCAGCGCCAATTCATAGAATGCATTTCCCCGGGCGACAGGGCCGCGGGGCCACACCTTTCGTTCCGGTTTCAGACTTTGAAGATAAACAGCCGCATCCAAGTATTTGAATCGAATAGCATCAAATAACATCAAATATCAGACTCTCTCTCTACGACCAACTGTTTAAATTCAGTACACAGATCAAGGATTCCAGGAAAATCACAGAATCCTTAGTAAAAGAGTAAAAGCATTGAAGATTCAAATCTATGTGACACCAGTTTTCTTCTCGTGTTGGATGTGGCTGTTCAGCACAGCGCACAGCAACGCCTGCTTGCTGCGCTACAATGTTTCCGCCATGCGGCATTTTGGCGAGGGTGCTGCCAAGAAGTGCGCGCCTCAGTTGGGTCAAGATGGGTGTGCCTGAAAATGGGTTGTATGCTCCAAATTGTGATTTTAGCGAGAAAAATAATGATAAACCAATATAAACCATGGGATTTTGGTGGTTGTCCCCTGAATTGACGCAGAACAATCTGGACGGATCGCGAATTTTGCAAACCCAAATCTAGTGATTTGGGTGCCTCATCTATCGATGTCTATAAATAAGTCCAGAAACCAGTTCACCGTTGGGATCTGAGATGTTTGGAAGCTGTCCGAGGTCTTGTGACGCAGCCTCTTTTTTCGCGGGCGGTACGCAGAGCTGCGATTGGCGCTGGCCAGCTGCACCTCAAAGAGAGGTGTGGCAAGCTGTCAGATGATCGGAGGATTCTGCGAGGGGCTTCCGTGCCGGTGGTGGACCTGAATAAAACATAGGAAAACTGGAGTGAGTTTGAACACTCCATGGATTGGTGCGCTGTTTGGGGATGGGTTGACCTTAAAGGCACAGAAGACCGTTTCTATGGTTAGATTCGTTACCAAAGAAAAAACAGGAAAAAAGTGGCCGTGGCTGCCAGGGAAAGCACGGGTTGTGTATTGTGCCATGAACTGGGAAGTTTCATGATCAGCACGGCAGAATAGAAGGCCTATTATTCAGTCTTGCAAGGCGCCGCGAGGTTGTTGCATTTTTTGAAATACTGAGTACTGTTGGATTAGTGTTGTGGAAGCCTGTATGTCACAATCCATGACAAATTGAGTGTTTCATGTCTCAACCAACACGGACCTTACTTTAGATGCCCGTGCAACAGCAATTAGCCAGCTGCCTGGAGGCTAACTCAGAATCCAGGGCGGGTCTGCCACATTCAGGGGTGACCATCGATACGAAACCACTGCATTGACATGATCAAAACATATCAAAAAACACTTCTTCAAAGGCAGGATTCTTCTACTCGAGCTGTTCCAAAAAGGTCTCGGATGGCTTGTGATTTTCAGGCCATGAGGGACGTTGCCGCAGGGGTCCCCATGCGATGTCGCTGACTGAAGCTCCAAAGGTCGACAGATCTTGGCGCTCATCACTTCAGATTTTGGACGAGGCGCTATCCATCAGGTGGGTTCCCGAGTCGACCGCACTGCGAAGTCTATGGAAAAGTTGTATGAAGCGAGGACGATGGCAGCTGGCTCTACAGATACTTAGGAAGTTCCTGGGGCACGGTGTGGTACCAGACTTGATCAGTTTCAGTGCCAGCATCAGTGCCTGTGCAGCAGCTGCAGTATGGTCTGTGGCACTTCATGTGTTGTCGGAGATGGTTGCGGCCAACGTGTGCCCTGATACGATTGCATACAATGCGGTCCTGAGTGCGTGCCACAAAGCTGGGCAATGGCAACTGGCGCTTCAGATTTTGATAGACATGGCTGTCTCTCGGGTTGCTCGCAGTGTAGTCACATACAGCACCATCATCAGTGCATGTGAGCAAGGTGGAGCATGGCAAACAGCTCTGGGTATCTTGTCAAGGCGCATGCGGATGGCCCAGATTTTACCCAATACCATCAGCTTCAATGCAGCCATCAGCGCCTGTCAGAAGGGGCGATCATGGCAGATGGTTCTGGAGTTCCCTTCCAATATGCAGGAGTTTCGGGCAGATTTGGATACCATCACCTACAATGCGACCTTGAGTGCCTGTGAAGGGCAACGGTGGATGTTGGCGCTGGGCTTATTTTGGCGTATGAGCCTCGGTAACAGCCCAAATCTGGTGAGCTTTAACGCTGCCATCAGCTCATGTCAGCAGGCGGGGAAGTGGCAGGTGGCTCTTCTTCTACTGACAATTATGCCAGCGGCCGAGATTTCTCCGGACATCATCAGTTACAATTCGACCATCAGTTCTTGTGTCAGTGGCTTGGGATGGGAAGTGGCACTTTACTTGATGGAAGCGATGTCTGTTGGTCTCATTTTGCCCGATGTCATCACCTACAATGCGGCCATCAGCTGCTGTGACTTCGGTGGATACTGGCAGATTGCCATGGAACTGATGAAGGACATGGATCGCTTCCGTCATGTCCCGGATGTGGTGACGGTCAGTGCTGCCATCAGCGTTTGCGCCAAGGGCGGTGAATGGCAGCCAGCGTTGCATCTTTTGTCGACCATGTGCAAGAAAATTATTGCCTTGAATGTGATCGCCTTCAATGCAGCCATTACAGCCTGTGAGAAGGGAGTACAATGGCAACTCGCTCTGGGCCTGCTGTCGGACATGGAGCTCTTTCGGATTTCGCCCGATGTCATCAGTTTCAATGCGGCAATTTCAGCCTGTGAGAAGTGCTGGCAGTGGCAACGAGCCTTAGACATCCTATCGTCAATGTTCAACTTGAGGATTTCGCCACATGAAGTGACATATGGTGCGGCTGTAAGTGCCTGTGAAAAAGGCCGGCAGTGGCAGAAGGCGCTGCAATTGCTGGCCGAGATGCCTTTGAGGGAAGCTACGCCCAACGAAGTGACCTACGGGGCTACCATTTCCGCATGCGGACGGGGGGAACAGTGGCAGAGAGCCATACAGTTGTTGAGCGAAATGTTTCGCTTTGCTGCACCAAATGCCATTATTTTCAATGCCGCCATCAGTTCTTGCGAGAAAGCAGGGCAATGGCAGTTGGCTGTGCAGTTGCTCTCCACCATGTCGGAAGTCAGGACCAAGGGGGCAGCTATTGTTTTCCATCCATTGCTGTCCTGGGCAGAGATATACTCAGGCCAATGTGGGATATACAACGCCTTCTGTCTCCATTTCAAAGGAGAACTGGCGCAGTACAGGGTTACAGAGTTACCTGATCCCAACCCTCAAGACTTTCAACCAACAGAGGTATATGGGGATGGGCCCAAGACATTCAAACACCTTTTCGGGGATGAACATCCAAACAGCCGCAATTTTGGGGTGAACAGCAGGCCCCCCCAAAGGTTTTGAACCATAGCCCTAGTATCTCACTCTTACTCCATGGACACCAGCAGCTAATGAAGTCATCCTTTGACAGGATTTCTCCTGATGACTTCAGCTTCAGTGCAGCCATTGGTGCTTGCAAGCGAGGTGAGCAGCTTTGAGCTGGGTCAAATAGATCAGTTTCACAGAAAACTGGTAGCAGTTTCTATTTTCTTGGCAAAATTTTGGAAATGGGTGCCATGAGGCTACCATCGATTCTTGGGCACTGGGTTATGTGACCTGGTGACTCGCTATTCATGGCAATTTTTGATGTCCTGGATGCGTGGAAAAAAGGCTTGCTGCAGTATGCTGCATACCTGGAATACTTGGTGCTTCAGTGTCCGTTGGAGGTTTGTGAAAGGAAACTGTTTGATTAAATTGGCCTCAGCATTTTCACAGCAGGGTCTCTAGCCAAAGACAATCTAGCTCGGCCATCTGAAAAAAACGATGCGTGAAAAGAGCAGTTGGACACAAGACCTGCTCAGATGGAACAGGTGTTGTCAACTTTAGCCAGGGATGCAGTCCGTTTTGGATTTGGTAAATTTGGTAAGCTCCAAGAAGAAGGTCCCCCAGCATTGACACTTTTTCCAAAGATTCTCTCCTATGTGTGGTGATGGCATTGCCGAGCTCGCCGTTGCCGAGCCCGGTATGCTTCGTCACATGGCATCAAACAGACGAGCTGATGGATTTTGTGAATAGCAACGAGCCACCATCTAAGATAGAACATGCTACGCTGCTACATTTATCACATCTATCACTATTGTTCCGCAAGAGGAGTTTACTTTTTCTATGTTCTTGGATTCTTGGGGTTTTTCACATGACATACTGTATTTGAGAATATTTTGCAGGTGAAACTTGGCATTGCGCGTTTTTGGTGACAGCTCTGAGGACATTTTGGATTTTCACAAATTAGATTGGTCTGCCCCTCAGACATTGGATCCTGCAGCTTGAAACAGAGATAAACATGGACAAACACAGCATTTGTAGATCATTTCCTGGGAAAATCATGGATTTTCCATGGATTTTCCATATGTTTGGTGATTTCAGGGCATTCCCCAAGGCATTGATTGTATCTTCTTGTTGCACCAGGTTTACCGCGTCCAAGCATCTGGGAACCCTTCTGGCGCAGAAGGGTTTTTGTTTTATCAAAGGGTCACTAAAGCAGGCGGGTCTCGGTGATTTTTGGAGTTGTTCCAATGGAATGCCCAGCTGGCGATGCCCCACGGCGCTTTGATCATGGCCAGGAAGAGAAAGATTTGATTAACAAAGAGGCAGGGCAGCGGATCCGAATCCCTGATGGCTCCGAAAACGAGGGATAGCACTGACAATTAAAATGGGGAAAACCGGGAAAACCATGATTTCACCAGTGGCCCCATTTCAAGACACACCCTGATGTGTATAGTATATAGGGTTGTGCCAGATGCTTTTCTATGGGTATGATTTTGACGATCATCCAATATGGAGCCAGATTTGAGTCAGTTTCAAGGCCATGTCCATGTCTTGTGCGGAATTTGCTTCGATCTATTGTAGCTGATGGTTTGGCAGTGTATTCCGCTGGAGCTTTCGGTTCTTGGAGTGTCTGACGAAACAATAGAAACCTCTGGAAGGCTGCAGTCAAAGCATCATTTCTTCATTTCCTGTGATGAATTACGATCCGGTCGTTAGGAGGGAGCGATCCGGAGCTACGGGTATTCATATTCCGCATGAGCTATGGGGAGCTACCAAGAGGTTTTGTTGGGATTAGAAACGTGGCAACGCCTCTGTGACCTGAACTTCGCCATGGTGTGGTTGATGAGGTTTGGGAAGCAATGGGATAGCGCGCGGGCGAGGGCAGTAGATTGCACAGCTAAGAAACTCAAACATCACAGAAAAAGCCTTCGGGAACCACTACAGTCCTTGTATGAAGAGGGAACGAGTTTGGCAATTCACTCGCCCGGAATTTGAGTCAGAACGAGTTGGAGAAGTCCAATGCTGCAAGCTGCAAGCTGTAGAAATGAAGAGAATTTGATGAACGGTGGCTGGGACAACAAATCCTAACCATCATTAATTACCTTCGTTTGTCATATTGCAGACTTTCGCACAACAGGTTTTGATGATTTTACCTGGGGCACCCTGGCAAAGTCCAACAATGCTCTTGGACCCAACTGTTCACCCCGTCACACACGAAATATCTTGGTATCGGACCGAATTGTCAATCATTTTTTTACGGTGCAGCCTTTGATCCCTGCCTTTTCTCCTTTTTCTTTTCATGGCTTTTCATGGTTTGCATTTCATCACACCCGGAAGGATCAACGGAGAATCTAGGCCACTGCCCCAAGGCGGTGAGATCCGGAATGGATGGCTTGAGTGTTTTTTATGCGCTTCCAGCGAGGGTTTGTGAAGAAAATGCAACACCTCTCATGTTCTGGACAAAGAGTTGGAGTGGGAGGCAGCTTTGTGATTGGGCGAGCTGCATCTTGCAACATGGCCTGCTCCGACCCTGCAGTGAGTAGCAGGGGACCCAATCACAGACCACCGGTCATTCGAATCGTCAGATTCAGTGGCATCCCGAGGCACTCACTGCATCTTGTTTTGTGATGGGTGCAGGTCTCAGTGATAGAATGGGATTCTGAAAGAATTTCCTGTGGGTCACGGAGCATAGATGTGCATATATTATGTGCATAGATGTAGCCAAGCTTCCAGGTGCATTTGTCAGACCTCCCCTCTCAGTCTGAAACCCTTCTTGAAATCTGGGGGTCAGCAATTCTTTTGGACGCCCAGGTCTTTGTTGTATCATCTTTTGGGTTGCAATTATAGATTGATGCAGTTGCCCCAGTTCCGTTTCTTGTGAAAAGGCCAAATCTGACGGTGGAAGACCGCAGCACGCTTGGCACCTAGCTGTCCCATTTTTTTTTGAAGCTGGATGCCCTTCAAAGCCTCATGCCATTGCACTTCGGGTCCCAGGAATGGCACCTATGTGAATGGTTTCCGTTTGCCAAGACGCCTCAGACTTAGTTGGTGGTACCACAGGTTTGGGACCCTGATCTAGTGGTTGTTTCGCAAAGCCGTCACCAAGGCCAAAGCAGAAAAGTCGTTTCCGGCGACAAGCTCGCATTGGTCAAAGGCAGTAAACCGAATTGTCGGAACCATTTTACAGTGTTGAGAAGGCATGGAGATTTTATGGGTATGGGCCGGTATGGGCTCAAATGTATGATCTCACCCAGAATAGGAGGGTTTAATGGGAATAACTGGAATAACGACCAAATTTGTAGGTCTTTTTTCGAGCCAAACCCTGGTGAGGATGGCCGGACAGGAAACCAGTTTGACAGGCGCAGCTGAGTACCTTCTGGAATTTGCAGATGAGACCAGCGAGGCCTTTGTCGAAATATGAATTCACCAATAACTATAAAGGAGTTGCACATCTTGACTGATGATTGATGTTGCATTCAGTGGTCAGTCACAGTGCCAACCAGTCTTGCTTGTACCGGGGTTGCTAGATTTTGTGAACCGCAACATGCATCTTCTTTACTTCAATTAATCTATTCACAGAATTTCATTGAGTGAGAGCTTTAGAGAATCCGCCGACCAGGTTTTACGATCTGGTACTTCAACAGTTTGCTATGGGAAATACATTGAGGTAAATCCATGTAAATCCCCTATAAATGGGCCATTTTCCATCATTTTCCATCCGTAGCAAACCCTTTAAATTAGTGAAGGGTATCCATTAAATGCTGGCAGCTCCTCCAGGTCCCAGGAAAGCTACGAAAGCTGAGCGTCCTTGGAGATGGCGAAGGGTTGAAGGTGTCGGCAAGTCAGGCCTGCGGCTGGTGGACAGGAGCAAGTGGGGAAACCGAAATTGACTCAAAAATGGGATGGTTTCATGATCAATCTGTGAATCCCATAGCTTTCAATTCCGAACCAGAGCCGATTATAGCCGACTATTCGTCCACAGGTCCCCGATTTGCCAATGGGTCTTGAGGTACTTGCTGCCACACTGCGTCGATCGCAAGATGTGTCGGCTTCTCAGTAAACAAGTCAAGAAACCAAGGACCTTTTCCACATTCTGATCTTCCCACATTCTTCACAAATGTAGCAAAGGCAGTCAGGTGTGATTCCATTGATCCTGGCAAAACCAGATTTAGATTTGGCATGTGAGGTCTCTTACCTATCGAGACACAGAGCTTGACAGTGACGTCAAAGATATTCCCATGAAGGATGCAGACACTCCAAGCGAAGTCACTCGTAAGGGAGATGTGCTCCAAGCTGACTCGAGCGAGCCGTCAACAATTCCTCCCGCTCCAGCGCGGGAGTCCCACTGCCGATCACCGTCCAAGCTGTGGCAGTGCGACACGCCGTTGGACCTCGATGCCGACGTGGCGTCGTTGCCCGGCTCCTACCTGGCGGAGGCTGGCACTGCTGGCACCGCGCCGGAGCCGCGGGGACGCAAGCGGCGCTTGGAGCGGGCCCCGTCGCAGCCAGGGCACCTCTCAGGGCCGGCCTTGTTGCAGTGGTTGAAGAGGAGGCGTTGCGACCGCCAGGGGGATGGCCTTCAAGATGTGGAGATGAAATTTTCTTCCAGATCTGCAGGTGATAGACGGAAAGCAGAGCAACATTTGAAGCAGCAAGTGCACTTCTTCAAGGACTTTAAAGTAGAATTGGATGAAATCACTTTGCTGTCACCTCCTGAGATGATTACTTCCCTCCGATGTGCCAGTCGAAAAAAGCAAAAGTCTTGCATGGTGGCGCAAAGCTCTGAAGGCTTTGTGACGCTCCTCTCCTCAACGCGCCTGGTTTCAACTCCTGCTGTAGCTGCTCAAGCCACCGACCAATGGGATGCCATCCACAAAAGTGTTGTGACTGAAGCTGCCAAGGCCTTCACACGCTCCAAGGTCATGTGCTCAAAAGTCGCCAACATCTCATTTCCCTGGAAGACTCATGAGATGTTGCAAGAGGCATGGGACTCGGAATGTGCTCTTCAAATGCTACAGGATCGCTGTGATCTCGAAGCCGGACGTCGTGTGTTGATGCGCTGTGGCGGTGCTCATCCCAAGGCTGGTCTCTTCGAGGATGCACCGCAGGGCTCCAGTGAGGCCGCAGCTGCCGCAGCTGCCGTGCTGCAAGGCTGTCTCCCGGCACTGGCCACTGGCAATGAGTTTCGGGCTGCCACCTTTCTGAACACTTCGGGCTTGTCCCAAGCGTTGCGCGTGGCGCGGCCTGGACTGTTGGGTACTTGGCATCCCATCCAAGTCTCGAGAGTTGGTGGATTTAGGGATGTTTTGCACTGCTTGTGGTCAGCTCGCGACATCGGCTTGGG